AAGTCTGGCGTTTCAACTACTTTTGTGTCGCCTCTAAATGGTAACATAATGTAAATTAGCTTTTTGGGTGCCAGAGGTGTCATACATCTAATCATATTGCAACCCTTCCAGCGGTTTATGAACTTCAATGAATAACCATTATTCATCAACGTATCATTCAAGAGCTTCGTCTCTACTCAAATAGTATAGAATAGATCTCAAGGAAGATAAAATGTTAGTCAATTTCCTTTCACTCATCTATAAATGTCCATATAATCTTTGAAAAAACCTGACTTTTCAAAAGAAACCTATTGCAATAATGTATGAAAATCTTGAATAACCATTATTCGATCGTCTAAAAAGCAGCAACAGTGAATGGAGAGTGAAAATGAATACATCTCCATGAAACGACCTAAGTTTGTGATTTCATTCTTGAAATTCAAAAATCACCAGCAAATATTGCTTTATATTTAATTTTGTGATCGTTTAGTCACTGAAATTAATATACCGAATCTTTGATGAGAGCTGAAACTTTTCAAAATGCTCATTCTAGGAGGTTAGAGCTGTCCCTATTGATTATAATTCTATGAATGAACTCTGTGTGGGATTTGAGAGTTCTCAATATATTGCTCAGCTGCCATAACTAACTATTATCAAGGTTGTATAAATCCCCATTTAAATAATACTAATCCTGGTTCTCGTAAAAATAATAGTATTAATTCAACGAATTGAAAAGCAGTACATAAATGTGGCTACGGGCTTGATAAATTATTAGAATGTAGACTCGCTGAAATCATACCCATCTGGTAATGCCAAACTCTTCGAATCTGGCAAGATGGATTTATTTATCGCATCAGTACTCATTTCGCTACCTGTTATAATAAACCTCTTTATTTAGATTTGACTATTAATCTTGATATTAACGAAGAATAAATACATCGTTTTTTATTTACGACTAAGTAATTCGTTTCACATTCAAAAATAATGATATGCGTTTATTTTATCTTCGGTATTTGTAGCATCGAATCCACTATTTCAGGGAAATGATTTAATAGATTCAAATCTTTTGACAGAACATAATTAAATTTCTATGTCAAGTATTACGGGACGTAAACTTCCTATCTGCCGTGGTTGTATTTATTAGATCAACATGATAATTATTCACTTATGACTTGTGAAATTTCAGTCAGTGATTATGGTCTATATATGTTGATCACTCTCTGGTCTTTATTGGTCACCTATCTAAGACTAGTTCCTGTTGAGATCGCTGAAATCCGACTAGCTCTGTAACAACCTATAGTACGAGTCTGTACTTGGCTTACGTATTTTAGGAATACTTAAAGTGAAACTTTATTGGCTGAAAACATTTCAGATAAGTTACCCAGAAACTTGATTAGTGGAAGTGCAAAGATTTGTTCACTTCGAGACATCTCTATTTTTATGTTTAAATAAAAAATTTCGTCTAATCCCTGAAAATTTCGGCCGGTTCTATTCGTGCAACAAAGCTCAACGAACTGAAAAGCCGAATGAATGAACTTTTCCAGCTCATAAATGTGTGTTATACCTTCTCGTACTGATGAAACCGGCAAAGTCGCTTGATGAAAGATATGTTTGTTCGAACATGGAGTGCTTACAAGTTGCTATCAAAAAATACTTTTCGACTATCCTTGAGACGTTTACTAAAGAATATTGCCAAATTCATCACTCGCACAGTGAATAGGGATTGTCCAAATTTACATAACAGCCACACTAATCAAATGGGTTTTGAGGATCCAGCTAATTTCGTTCCAATCCTATTTGCTTATAATAAAAATAATCTATCCCAGATAATGCAGTAGCCTCACCCAATACGAAGTATGGTATATATTCAATAAATATTCGAACCCCTTGTTAAGTGAAGTACAATAGTTTAGAATTCTACTTAAGCTATTGTAAATGTGATTTTTTTATATATAAAATGATAACTGATTTGTTCATAATTGTGTGCTTTATTGTAATTCTAATATACTGCCTTCATGTGCGTTCACAATCTTCTATCTACGATCACTGGCTTGTTCGTAGCTACTAGAGTACGTTCTAGATATATCCGTATATATATCTGTATCATACAATATATTCAGTACTATCAGTTATCCTATGGATTTATAATCTCCTGTTCCCACTAAGGGTACATTCGTGAGTAATGCTGACACACCAAGTGATACCATAAATTTCTCATCAACTTTCTAATTCTCCATCTTATTGGCATCCTAACAATTATCTTTCGCATTGTTTTGCAACGTCTTTAGTGAAGTGGTCCAAGGAATTTTATAGAACGTTTCTCAGTCGCATGGTAAGGTATGTTTAGCAATGGTCTCATACGAATATATGCTTGTAATTAGTAATAAAAGTTTGATTATATGGACAAGAGAGCGAATCCCCTCTTAAACTATTTTTTAAAAAGTGAGTATGAAATAGTGCCTCATAACCCCAAGTATATCCGTTGAACTAGTTGATAGTAAAACTGGAAATGCCACTGAATTCTTCGGCTAAATTAAAGTCGATTTAAGGTCAAATTTCGAAATGCTTATAAGTGGTTTAACTATATCTACAGATGTACACTTCCGAACATGCTAGCAAGTTATAGTGTTTTGGCAACCTATTTACTTGGTGATTACAAGGTATTCAAGTACTGGTACTCCTATATAAATTAAGCACCATTGATGTGCTTTCACTCGGTGGTCAATTCGTAAATACATTACAGGTAACACGGAACTCGTCACGCTAGACTGCAACCCACTACCGCTTCACATCCATTACTATGAAGAAATTTAACGAAACGAAGTATATGTTTATTTTCAGATATGACTATAGGTTCTTTTGAAAACTGCATTCGCATAATCCTTCATACGTTCTTTAAAATTTTCTTATTCGTATTTCAAGAGGTGACCATATCGATGGGATGAGGTTTATTTGGATTATTTTCCAGCAGCCAGTCGGCCAGCCAAAGCTAAGCAAGCAGAAAATCAAACACAAGCATTTGTTATCAATAAAAACCATTCAATGTCAAATGTTTACAGTCTCAAGTCTCTTATGTACGTGAAAATTAAGGAGACGTTAAGTAATAATACTCAGTTTTTATTAAATGAACATCTATCTTCAGTGGCTCAACAGCGTTAAAATCAATCTCAACTGATAACTGAAATTTAATTTATTTGAACAACATGATCAAAATAGTATAGGGAACCGATCACAGCTATATGGTAATTGGGAAGCTGGTGAAAGGAACCCAGTTGAACAATGTTTGGAGCAATTTAATATGTCCTTATCATTGGGATATTTTAACTTACAAAATTGTAGGTAGACGGAAATATTTTACTGAAATTTCACGTGAAATTATTGAGCTTTGCGGAGAGCTGTGTTTTTATTTTATTCTCTTGCTAATGAATCAGGTACATGTCATTGAGCTATTCACAAGCATAAAATCATTTTGCAAGTAAAAGGTCACCCAATTTGACGAAATCCAATTACACTGAAACATCAATGCACAGATAAAAGACGTCACCATGCGTCTAAACAAAATATGGCATCCCAGTAGCCCATTAACTTACCATTTAACTGAGCATTTAAAAAATCATTGAAGTTGAATATTCATATAAAACTTAATAACAATCAGATAATCTTATCCGTCAATTGTTTTTGGCGACTTAACGGCCTCGTTGATTACATTATTGTCAAAGAACAATGTGATATTACTGAATGCCTAATTTCTAAACAAAGAAGCATTGCGTCATCTGTTGTTTCTTTACGCTGTCGTATTTCTGAACGCGAAATCGTCTTTTACCTACAAAATGAGAGTATCGTATCCAATATAATTGTGGCAGTCCCGGTTTGTTTTACTTTCCACATTCAATTTTACCACTCCGCGTACTGCCATTATTTTATCCAAACTTTTATTTTAATTGTGGTCATTGTTGGAACTAAGAATTTAAATTCTACAGTATTTGGGATCCATTAACTAGGTACATACTTCATTCTAGTGTTTATTAAGTCTATACTAGAATAAAAGCAAACTTCCAAATCAATAAATTTCGATATTAAAAAATGTTTCAGTGATTAATTAGCTCAGTTTAGTAAATCAACGGCAAGAAATTAAAGCTTTTAACAAAAACAGTCCAGGTTCATTTAAAACCATGAGAACTTTATAATCCTGTATTTATTACATGCTATTACGTGAGGTCGAAAATATCTTCGAAAAAATCAATAAGCTCAGACGATAAGAAATATCAACTTACTACTGGGTCCTTAGGTTTTTGTTTGCACAGTTCTGTCAAACCTTTTAGTAAAGTTGGGTTTACATTCCGAACTAAGTAATCTTTTGCTGCAAGTCTTACGGGGATCGGTGCAACGATCACTAAATGAATGAGTAATTTTAATAATAAGAACATTACATTGTGCGAAAAAAATAACCACACAGTTTTAAAAACATGACAACTTTGTTTAAACATATTTCAAGTTTGTATTATTTTGACTAGTCAATCTACCTGCTGTATTCTTGAAAGTACCCTTCGCAAAGCATCCTGTTTACATATTTTAGGTGGATTAGATCTCATATCTTCATACAAGCTAACAGCAAAATGATGGTTTCGCACTGAAATCTAGTTCAAAAATGAGGGGGTGAAATCTTTAGGTATCTTGGCTGTTTACTTATTTGGGTGACTTGGTTATCTGAGAAGTACTGATGTGAGCTACCAAAGGTAGATTTGACGCTTAGTATTGAATTTCGTAGACAGCTTTATGGATTCTATTAACTTCAAATGGGTTTAGTGATGTGCATATGCCAGAAGGGAAAATGAATTTTTACAACAATATTTGGGTTCCACGTCAGGATTTTACTTTATACACACGGAACCGTCTTGGAGTCTGGAAATCGTGGATCAGTGTGCTAATTCATTACATAATTTTCACAAATTTTCTACTCGAGATATTTGGAACTTTTATGATGGATAAAAACTAGGACGCATCAATATATCTTCCCTTTCCTGTTGATATGCTCGGTCAACTTTGACCATTCAAAGCATATCGTTATCAACCCATCATTGTTTTAAAGCTAATTTGATTTATCTTAGCATTTTTATCTTACACTAACCTTTATCTTACAAATGCTTTCTTAACCATTTCTCTTACTGTAAAAGTGAGTGAACCAAACACATGTTGAAATGTAAACAAAAAGCTAATAGGCTTACGTGAATTTTAAGGCAAAATGACGAACTGAAGTTGATTTCTGAGTGATTCTTTGGCGCCACGTAATCATAGTTTCCAATATCATAAGCATACAGTAAAAAATAGTTTATATTTTATATCAGGTACTAGATTTAGCTGAGAAGCTGTTAAAAATCAGAAAGCACTAGAGCGGCGTTTTGTTCTAATGTAAGACTCCTCGTCAGCTTCCCTAAACAATCCTATCAGGGCTCAAACTTCAAATTACTGAACTGCCATCGAGGGGCTCATGTTTTCAACTCAAGTCACTCTCCAATATTGAATGACTATCATGCACTGTAATCAATGGTGCTTATCTCATAGTCGACATGGTTCAATTCCATAGGTCATACATTCTCGCTGGATCTTTGAAAAATCGCCCCAAAGTTAGTTTCAGTAAGAATATGATTATTAGTAGCATGGCGAGTTTAGTGAGATTCGTGAGAAAGAAATACAAATTTTTATTCAAGCTACTTACTATCTGGGAAGAAGAATCTGATTTCTCTTTCAGCACTTGTAAACGAATCGCTTCCATGTATTCCATTCTGTTGATCATCTGTACCATAAATAGCTCTTAAACTACACAAGAAATATTCGATAAGAATGTTCAAGTTTCATGTTAGTAAGTTAACCTTGCAGGTACCGTCGCCTTAGCTTTAAATGCATTTTGTGGACCAATTAATTCACGAAGAATAGATATAGCATTTTCTCTAGCTATGACTAGTACCTCTATCGGACCACTGCTAATGTAGGCAATTAACGTTGCATAAAATATTTTCCCGTAATGTTCTGCATAAAATTCGCTTGCTTGTTCTGGTGTCAAATGAACGCGTCTCTTCTATCAATTTTGGTTATACATTCTGGGGAATCGGTGTTTACCTGTATTATCAAGAATCCTTTTTGTAAGATAAGCTCTTCTATTTTATCTGCATAATTAATAATGTCCGGCTTAATAATCAAGAGTGTTCTTTCAATATGAATATATGGAGAATTTTCCCTGGACATTTCTGAAACAAGTTGTATAATTTCAAGGCCTAAAATGATATTTAAAATCATGTACGGTCTTGAGGTCTTAAAATACAAGAGAGAGCAAAACTTGTCTATTACTAAAAAACACACCAAAACAGGATGTGGCCCAATAAATGTCTTTTTGAAAGAATAAAATGCAAAAAGCACTTGGTAGTTCGTTTAAGATATTTGTCCAAGTTGAATGGATTTGACTGCTTCATACATCAATCAGACCAGAAGTATTGTAACTAATGTACCACCCAGAAATATGTTATGCTAGTCATTAGACTATTCGACCAACGAGCTGAATATTGCAAGGCCTGATGGCTATTCTCCTGATCACTTTGATAGATTTTATACGTTGACAGAAAGACTTCATGCAAATTTTACCTAGTGATTTTATTCAAACTTATTATTAGTGAATACCCATTTTATGAAAAGTAAGTGGACCTTTTAAAAGTCACTAGTGACTTTAAGGTTTCACATGTTGGTCAAATAATATCGTTAGTTATAAGCTTCTGTGGTAACTCTAGAAGTAAGGAGATTTCCTTCTATTTGTCAAAGGGTAATAAAATATCGATTTGTGGATATACATTTAAAACATTCAAAGCAGCAGTGAAGTTCATGGGGTTCAACAATAAGCGGTTAAAGCGACGAATTACAAATGCTCGTTTTACGTCGATTGATAAAATCATCTGAAGCTGTTTGTTAGATTCAAGAAACCTATTTTCCATAAAGAATTTGAAAAGATAGCACTTGATATTGCATTCAACAGTGATACAGGTAAAAGGTCCAGGCCTGGAGATTACGTCTCATAGAAGATAATAGATCTCACACGATATCGTCTTTGCTGATTGGGACGTTTCTTTTCAAGTTATGGTATCTCAAGCTGTCACCGTGACTGTGTTAATACGTCGTTTTATTTGGTTATTAGCCGTGATGGAGACTGAGAAAAAATTCACGACCTGTCATATCCTGTGTTGAGTTTGTCTTAATCTACTAACGCATGTTTCCTTTAGCTCAGTCAGTCAGTCAAACAGACGTAATGTATAACCTGGCACGCATGCATATCGGCCCAAGTTGCCATATCTCGTTAGCACAGAGACGTGAAAATCGTCAGAGCGAATCCCAGAGTATTAGATGTGGTAACAGTATTAAAAAATTTCGCCTGAAGCCCATTTTCGGGTTACTGACGATCCCGAACCCGGATGAAGGAGAAGGGTTGGGCATGGGATGAGCGACCCCATCCCGTAGAAAGCTAACTCGCTAAAAAACGCTAGTCAGAAAAAACAATTCAAACCAACACTATTAACGGCAATAGGAAAGACTAGGCATCTAAGATAAATTTGTGAAATAACGAAACAGAATTTGTGAGGAATCTATAAATCTAGGGTCTAACGCAAGATAAAAATAGGGTGTATCTGGGCTATTTTAAACGACTTCGCTACTACATTCAAAGTCTAACCATTGGTAACATAATCACGCGGATCTCAGACAGGTAGTCTACACCTAACTACATGACTTAACCCAATAGTCATTCTTCATGAACTGATGCCATTTCTTGACTTGACAGCCCCTAGTAATCTCCCAGCCTACATCATCAATGTCATATTCACCTGATATCTTATCCCTAACCTTGGCATTGCTCACTCAGTGGTGCCAAAATACACTAGCGATGCTTTGAAGACACCTATGATCGGATCCTAGTAACCTACAAATATCGTCTATTTTTAAGAGAAGCTTCGTAGCCATAAAGAAAAGCGCGACGAACTTGTGCACAGCAAACTTGTCCTTTGATTGCCAAACAGATATATTATCTACGCCACAAGTGATCCAAGTTGGCAAAAGCCGATCGAGTCTTCTGAATTTGTGTCGATATTCTGACAGACACTCACCCAACAGGGTTAATCAGATTTTCGAGATAAATGAAGTGGTCGATAAGTTCAACTACTTCACCCCTATTACCAATTCAGGTGCTGACGCATACAACTCTTGAAACAATGCTTGGTATTTAGATGGAGAGATGCACATCCCAAATATGCTTTTATTGTTGCTAAAGGTGGTCAGTCAAACTTCTATAAACCCAACAGTTTAAAAGGCAATTCGAGAACCTATAAGTTCTCATGTGTGTTTTGATGGTTTTTATTTTTGCTGTGCGAGGTAGATTTTTTGTTTAACTTTAAAATGTTTCAAAACATGATAACCGACATGATAAATAACATTTCATCTATCACAATGATCCATTGACTGACTTCATGACTCCCGACACTGCAAGAGGAATGAATCTAGAACATGGGGAGGAGTTTATGTTGACACAAATTTTTAGGGATGTGAACTGAAAACCAGGGTCATGATGAGGCAGTAACTCCAGAACCTAGCATTAGTGTTTGCCGATTCAAGCTACCACAACTCATAATCGCAAAGAAAAGAGAATTAACTAGATGGGAATCAAACATGAGGAAACTGCACCAAACGAGTCAAAGGTCTAAATTTGTAGCAAACGCAGTTGCTTCTAGTTAGTTTGGAGGCAAGCCTTATCGAACGCGTTCTTCTGCATATATTGCACCATTGTAACAGCCATTGAACAAAATGTTGAGACCCAAAACAAAGTAATTATTCTGACTGCAGTTTCACTACGCATCAAATCGTACTCCGTCTTCATTACAGAATGTAGGTATTGTTTGAGACACGGTAGTTTGAGGGACAGTATTATTTAATGAACTTTAACATGACTTCACCATCGAAATAATAAGATACGATAAAATGTAGTAAAAAGATTTTGATGATATCGAGCTGGAAAACCTGAATTATATGTTTAAAAGCAGACAGTAGTTAAAGTTTTCTAGCCCTATTAACATAAACTAGTTCCTAGCGTCGTAAAATCCTTTTTAATTGTATACTATCAATTCACTTTTTCGAATCTCTTCTAACTCAGTAGTTTTAGTTTTAACTGAGATTTACCTATTTCTTTCTGAATTATTAGCATCTTCTCACTATATAGTCGCTTATTGTTAACCCTTTAATTTATTATTACTATCAATATTTTAAAGTTTCTAACTGGAGATGATATACATTCGCAATATTTTTATTTATTCTGTTAATTCAACTACATCTCTGCTGTACTATTCTGATATGTGTCCACAACACCTCTCAATGAAATTCATTTGTCTAAATGCTTCTAATCCACCTTGTAATTTTGACTTTTAAATAACACAGATTGTAAACAGCTAACAAGAACTTGACGAAACACAAAACGCACACGTGTTAATTAGCTCAGAATCCCGTTCTTCTATTAAAAATACATTCGTTAGAACTGGAGTTTCTTATTGTACAGGCTTCTTACTATATAAGTGAGAATAATGATCAGATAAATTAGTTAATACTTCATGTCATAGTGGCTTAGATCAGCTGTTACTTTACATATTTCTTTTTGAAGCCTAATATTTCACCATGTATGCCGTTATCGCCCTACCTTCTCATGTCTTTTAGTTCATTTTTCCATTTTATTTTTTTCCTCAGTTCTCTCCTTCTCTGCTATCTAGAACAGGAGTAATATTATTTAAACATTATGAGATCCTCTGTGCGATTAACACCCATTAGCAACATTGTAGCAGTGTACTTATTAGCATGTTAGAACGATACATTAAATCTATCTTGCTTGAAAGTATGACGTATCTTCTCTAAAATTCGTGACTCCTTGACCATGAAGCATCAACTTGTGGGTCTAATTGATGAAGATTTAGCAATGTATGTTTTTGAACAAATCGGCTGATATTATATAATGTCAACCCATTCTCCGGGTACTTAGGTATGAACCACACTCTAAATGTGAGGGCTGATAATACTACTGGCCGCCAGAGCTTAAATAGGTCAGAAACGTTCTGTAATAGTTTAACAGTGTCATCGTTAGAACTTCCATCTATCGTTGTAAAACTGTAATTACTAGCTAGAACGGTCTTGCCCAAATATTACTAATGTATATGAGACAATGATGGTATATCAAGGAAGCTAGAATCCGACATGTTACCGTAAACTGGATACATGTCTTTAAGGTGAAAACATCAGACAAAAACCCATAGGGCCACGGATTTGTTTATTAATTTATTCTCATTTCAGATGGCAAAAGCCACCAAACTGGCGATCGACAGATCGGAAACACTTATTTTATTTGTTCCAGCGTGTTATACAGCCATAACTGGGTGCCAGGTTTACACTCTTTGGGGATATCATCGAAAGAAATATTCACAAGCGTAGAGTTTGCTAAAGTTTGGGGAGTAAAATTGTATTTGATGGTCTTTATTCATTAAGCTCAGTAGATTTGGAATTTTAATCATCCGTTCTCTCTGAAGATCTTGCAAAGATTCTTTAATGACATGAAAGAAAAATTGAATAGCCGTTATTCCAGAAGGAAAAGACATGTACGTAACAACCTGCGAATCTGACTGCTATCAGAATTTTCTAACAGAAGCGATTTGTTTTATCATACACAACAGTAAGTCTCATTCAATGTTTGTACGTATTATCGGTAAATAATTTAAGGGGAACCCAGGACTAACTAATAATTCTTATTCCATTTTAGGATTCAATCTATGACTGTGATACTTTATGGAGACAACAACAACTAAAATTCTGGTAATGTCAATAATTTTGTAAGTCGTGGTTTAAATTTTCGAAATTAAGTGACTTATTACACACAAATCAACCTCCTAAATTAGTTGAACTGCTTGGAAGTTGACCTTCGTATGAAAGTATTAGCGAACGCAGATACTTAGGATAAAAGTGGGCTACTTTTGCTGAGATCAAAATTCCGAAACAATGCTCACCAAGAGAGAGATTTAAGAAAGCATTCACAATCTCCCTGTGGCAGACGAAAGAGGCAACATTCTGATGCATCTCCGCCAAGAATTCCGTCAAATTTCTTCAAAGAATGCCCGCCTCGATTTCACCATTGTTGTTCGCCTGACTTGATTTTAGGCAGTAAGCGCATCCAAAAGTGAGTAGACGTGCAAAAACAGATGTCATAAAACGCCAGTTAAGTCACTTTGTTTTCTGTCCATAAATCAAAAATATCGTATGATTCATCGTTCAACAAGCAACAAATGATGGTGTTCATCCAACCAAATACTTATGAAAATTTTGAGCGAGACTATAATTTATGGACGAACCAATCAGATTTAGGATAACAGGTCCTGGATTTGAGCGCGAAATTCACTCACTTATTTGTCTAAATAGCGTTTTGGCATTTTGGATAATGTCAGTTCGTGATGAAAACCATAAATCTAAACCCTAACCCTTACCATCAACTGTAAATCATAATCCTTATTCTCCATACTTCTTTATAAACCTCATTCAGCCCCAGTAAGCAGGCGGACATTCTCAAGGTCACTTTAGCGTCGCTCAAAGGTCGTCCATAAATTATGGTCTCATCACTTTTAGATATAATCACTGACTAGATGCAATGACGTATATTGTGGAGAACAATGTGTAAGACCAAGATGAACAAAAGAGCACGAATCATTAAACCAAAATCTAAGGTTTTGAACTATTCTACACCCAACAATGCACAAACTAAATCATAAATAGCGTAATCACTGAAAAAAAATCTAACAATTTTCACAGGTTTGCAAGGGAGATACGATAAAAGGTCCTTATAATAATTACTTTAATGAATAGCACGGACTATTTTGTAGTGATTACTTATTTTATTGCGCTAAAATCACTGAAGATGTGGTAACCAACTCCGAACTACCTTGAAGAGATTTTCAAAACTGCCGGAACCGGTACCATAGAAACCGAAATTCAATGAACAACATGCTTGTAAGAGACGAATATGAATCGAATAGTTACTTTGTACTTCCACTTCAATGTTAAGAAGTGGTTTCAGATATTTGATGGCATCTAGTGAAGATATTTTATCCACCCAGCTGCATTAGCCGTATTTCACTTGACAGTTTTTCGGAGGTCGGTATATTTTGAGGGTAGGTGAGAATTTGCGTCCCAGAAATGGTGAGATCATTTTTACTGGCACCTTTCACACCACAGGCTGACCGTTTGGTTGGTCGCAACAAAGTTTTGTGATCAAAACGGGAATAATGAACAGACGGAAATAGAAGATAAAACTTACAAAACAAATAAATAGATAGATGAAGACAAGTGAATAATTTGCAATAATGATTTGTCAAATCAGGGAAAATGCTTGGGTGAGGAGGCGACAGGGGGTGTAAAGGGTATAAGACCAGTAAGTGTAATAGCGTATTGCCTTAGAGGTACATTTAAGTTTTGTCTTTGCATGTAACACGTATCAATGTACGTGTGTGTCTATGTATGTCTGTATGTGTAAGTCTGTATGTATATATGCACATGTATATGAATGAACGTGTTTGTTTATGTACATATTAATTTAGTTGTGTATGCAGGCATGTATGTACATATGTGTGAAGGTACGAATGGATGGATTAATTGGCCTCGGGGGGTGCGGTAACCTGGACTACTCAGGATGTTCTATACCATGAGCCCATCCTTCTTCATCCTTTTATAGCTGAGGCGAAACAGCCATACCCAATGAAATTGATCCCCATACGATTTGCCTTTCGATTATGTAAATTCATTTGTCTCACGCCTCTACTCTCGTTTCAAGAGATACCAAACTTTCTTAAGGAGAAAACTTCAATAATGTTATAGGCTCAAGGGTTTGGCCGGGCGTAAATCTCGAGTAATATCAAAAACGGGTCACATGTCAACATGCTCAGCTGTCTTCGAAAGAAGTGGGTCATGATGTAGGAGTTATTTGTGTCTCCCGGATATTTATCGCTCGTTATCGCGTCTAATGTCAGCAATACACTTGGGCCAAACTGTGTTGAACTGCTGGAGAGGTGATAGTAAATGTAGGTGGGCAATCTGTCTCTCCACGTGAGCACTGAAGAAATGTCGTTGACATACATGAAGGATGAAAAACGGCGTAATGATGGCTCAAGATACCTAAGACACTGTCTTTCTCTAGCCTCAGAGCCTTCTACTCCCGTTCATAACCTTGTGTTGTGCGACTAATATTTCAACCAAGAAAATGGCGGTTCTGTGTAAACCACTTATCAGTGATCATTCTGTTTAACGTTGTTATATCAGCGATGGTCGCGTTGAAAATGCTCAGAGTTGTACGCCCTCCCTCCAGATTCTCGGAATTAAACATCTTTGCCAAACATTGTGTGGTTGCAATGCGATGGTCCAATGACATTTAGTAAAATCCAAGTAAACTTTATAGAATTAATGAAGTTTTATTAAATTTTTGCCAATTTGTAACGCCAACTGTACACCACGAGAAATCAGTGGATGTTTATAATATGAACGTACAATTGGGAACGAGGTTTCGATAGAAATATTGCAATCTATGCCAACCTTTTGGTTCCTTCAACGAAGCAGTAACCACTTGTTGTTTGACTCCTTTTTACTTCTCAAATTTAACTGAACTTTATATGGTTTTTTTGTGTTGAATTCAATAACACTTGGGACTCTTTATATATATTTTTAGAGTCTAACTATAAACCACATAACTCAGAAAGTTCAGATGATCCATTGAGTTATTGAGGACCTTCATTTTTAAACATCGGCTATGATAGCATTGTTCATATACACAAAGCGAGTTTGATGTCTGCCATGTTTTCATCCATATCTCTCTCAAATGACTCAAATACATTTCCCAATCCAAAAGGCATTCAAAATAATTCGAACAATCGAAGATATGTACATCGACTCATTTCTTTTGTTTCCGGCTGTAACATAGGTTTGATGGTGTGACTTGTGTGTTACTTATAAATTGAATCGCACATAACTCTGGGCTTCACTTGGATTACAATCAAAACACGCTCATTTACGTCCATTGATTTCTGTCTGACTTCAATTTTGGTCATTACTTTACTAGTGGAAGACATCGTCATATCTTTACGCTAAGATGTGTACATATGTACAATTTGCAACAATAAAATAATATTCATCAAGTAATTGCGTTGGGCAATGCATGTATAATGACTTTTTCTTTACATAAAAGCACATTTGAGTAACTTACAAAGTCACAAAGTGTCTACCATAATGTCACTTAGCATAGATAAACTACAAATGCCATGTAAGCAATATTTCATGAATATGTGATTGGAAAATCACTAATGCAAGTATTTCGCGGAAAGCAATTTCAGGAACTAGTTTTTTCTGAAAGCAACATTACGAAGATGAAGGATTAATATGTGTCAAACGATTATTCAAAGAACGGTGATGTGTTCGGTGATAACTGTGAGGAGTTGAGTGACCTTCCTTTTCAGTGATTGAAACATTCTGATATTTTTCTTAGTCGTCGTGAGTATTTACAATCTGAAGAGTAGTGAAGAGCAAGCCTAAGGACTAATGAATCTCGTTCTCATAGAAGCATAAAGGTCAGTCTAATAAAGATTTTAGGCCGTCATATAAAAGTGAAAACAAGCATAGTAAGTAAATTAACATAACTGTAATATCCCAACGAGTAGAAAAATTAACTTTCTGATGTTTCGTGTCTCAGTATAACGCACTTCTCTGAAGTACAGTGAATATTTGTCTCGTTGCAAACTTTTTTCAAAAATCGTAAATAGTTTCCTTGAAAGATGGTTTGTCCTTGACGGAATTAACCATATGGAATAAGCGTGAAACGGAAAGAAAACGTTGAGATTTCATTTATTTGTTCCTCCCCCCGTCTTGTGTTCTGAATATTATTCAGGACTCTAGTTAACCATACTCTATATTCTTAAGTCTTACTTGTTGATGCATTTGTTATTTATTCCTCGTTAAATATATATCTTCTATTACTTAATTTACCGTTGCATGCTACTGGACCATTGACAATAGGGTTGTGTTAGACTAAACTCAAAGTCACTGCATGATTAATTGTATAACTGTTAACGTTCGTCTGACTGCTTGGAGATGTCAACGGAATCCTATCTTTCTGAGAATATTTTTATTGATTCTCAGGTGTTGAACACTTGTTTATTAACTATTCCCTTTGTCCGTTAGCACATTATTTTATGCTAGTGAAACTTTGGCTGTATATGGGTACCATTACCGAGGTTTTGTTTGATTAATTCGAATAAATTGAGTAGATTGTTATAAATATATAGTATATTTGCAATATCCCAGTGGGCAGAAAAACCAAATTTTCTGACGTTTCGTGAAATAGTGAAAGCCACGTCTTCAGAGAATAAATAACAAGTTTGTTTAATTTTTCTCTGAAGACGTGGCTTATACTAAGTCACAAAACGTCAGAAAATTTGGTTTTTCTACTCGTTGAGATATTACAAATATATTGCTTGTTTATTTTGACTGTATAGCACAAGAAGTTTCGTTTGAGAGATATTATACATTTTATATGATTTGTTCTCTTTCTCGAATTACAAAAATTTAAGTTGAACACGGAGCGTGTGCTTCAATATAATCTAATAGGAGTTGCTCAAAAACGCTCTGTAGGTCATACAGAAAAACGTAGTCTAATAAACTTCAGTTCGTTAGTTCTGTGTTCAAACCGAATATTGGTTATTCGGTCGTTACAATCACATGGATAATTAAACTAAGATACTTAGATAACAATCATATCCGTAGAACTATCAAAATGTCCCAACTTCGATCACTTAAGGCAATACACACAACGTCCCCAACCTAGAATGGTCTAGATGAACTACGAAAGCTTCACGACCGAACCAACGAGCTCGGAGAACGAAGGTCCACCAATGTGTGTGAGACTAATGTTTGCTCCACTAATACTATTTCTTAACATTGAAATTCAGGTGTTAATAGGATAGGTAAATTTAATGGTCAATAGATATACTAAACTCTAATTTTCAAATGTGCTTCCCATATTCAGAAGTGATTACACACTTCCACCCATTAATCCCATGACTTTTTTTATTGAGACATGTGGTATGGACAGTAAAAATGACATTATAACAATGGAAGGATGAGCAAGTAACAGAGAGCTTATACTTTATTTGTCGAAATATCGATTCAAGAACATTCTGCTTCAGTTTGCGCAAAGCACTTGAAGTTACTATGGAAATCCGCTGATGATGACCTATGTAGACTGCGGTCTTCGTCTTATGACTATGAACAGCTTAGATCTCAGCCCGAAATACATGAGCGACGAAGTCAAGGCAAATGTAATTTTCCATTTAACGCGTAGATAACTTTACCCAATGACATCAGAGTTATTCAAATTTTGAAACGTGCGCACGGCCATTCTTTGAAATCAATATTGCCGTCACGCCTTCTGTTTTCAAAATGGGCACAAATCTCACGGACAGATTAGGAAGATGGGGTAAGATTTCAATACATAAGATTGTTTTTATTCAATTTAAGAAGTATATGATATGAGAAGTTAATAACCTTTAACAATCAAGGTTCGTAAAGCCACACGAAACCAGCATTATATTATAGCATTATCACCGAAATCATTGAGACAAAGATCCGGAGGTTGCTAAAGACTTCAGAACACAGGCGTGCTTATTGGCGTCCGACAATGATAGTTGTTCTTGACTTGTAAGCAGCATTTGACTCTGGAGACCGAGTGGTTCTGTGGCAGTGTCTGTCATTGAAAGGTGTACCTCAGAAGTATATAAACCTTGTAAGGGCTCTTTACTCGAACACTATCAGTCGAGTTAGAGCTTATGGCGAACTGTCATCTGATTTTGCAACCACAAGTGGTGCCCGGCAAGGCTGTCCACTATGTCCATTTAGTTCAATTTCATCATAAACCTACTGCTAGAAATAACGTTTTCATCGACTGAATTTCCGGTAATTTATCTGCTACTAGGAGGTTCACCTATTGATTTAGAATACACAGATGATATGGTCGGTGAGGACACCGGTAAAATGCAGAGTGTTTTGGTAACACTGAGCAACAATACCAGGATGTTTGGGATGCATTTCTTCCCTTCTAAATGGAAATTGTTGCTTCAGGACTGGCCTGCGTCAACACCTGAACTCAGGATAGAGAGTTAAGTAATCGAACGCGTTGACAACTTCACTTATCTTGGAAGTCTGATTCGTCCTGAGAGGCGGCCGAACCAAAACGTAGCATCAGTTCATAGAGTCACTAACTTCTAGCCTGAGCCATGTTGGTAGATGCAGACTACTTGGTTGGAGTCTGAGTGACTATCATAACCAATGGTTGGAGACCCTGGGTGACATGACTGAGAATCTTTCACAATGGCGTTGGTGTTTACACTCTTTGTCTTCCCTTAAACTAAGAGATTAAAATTGCTTCGTGTTTTTCTTTCTACGAACTAATTTTTTCCTGTATTATATCCTTGTGTGCGATATTTCTGTTATACATTACTTCCGTTGAAATAACTGCTCCTATGAATTTGGTGTTCTTCATGTTGTTGTCCTAATGAGTTATGACAACTTGAACCGATGCATATATGTGCCTGGCCCTACGCTGTAGCTGACTGACTAAGACAGTGGTGAACGTTTAACTGAAGATATCGTGGTAATGTCGAAACATTACAGATCAAGTGTATGTCAACATTTTTATTTCGAACATAGATTATATTTTCTGTTATCATACTATAATTATTGAAAGATTTGTGTGTTTGAAATTATAACCTTGCTCACAAACAGTTCTGTTAAGTTATCTGATCAAAAACATACTACAACCACTGATGTGGATTCGTTTAAGTGAAGACCATGTGTGGCTTTCAGCAATAAGCTGATTAGTGTAAATTCCAGCATCAAAATTGCACATCTAAAAGCGAACACCTGAGTATGATCTCATTTTTTCTCACTGGAAGTTGCCCACATTTTTAATGCTCTTGCAGTCCAAGTGACCACATCCTCATCAGTAGACAGTTGTCAGAGGAAATTTAACAAACACGTACTAAACCACGGATTGCCATACCCATCTCCGACAAGCTGACTCTGTTGCAAGTCATAAAATTTAACACCTTTATCGTTACCGCATGTCAATAAGCACTTCTCATCCCCCTTATTATCATCTCCGTTTTCACTTAGATTTATTTGATTCCATTCGCACACGCACTACCAATTAATTGAATCGATTATTTAGCTTTGAAAAATTCATTATTCTTAGCACTCAAAGAACGACTTTATTATATCAACATTTCAACAACCAATCTCCATCCTTGTAATGTGTAGGTGCTAGTATCCAGAATCCTGACTTCTCCGAGACATATACTGAAATCACAAGAAATAAAAATCCACAAATACCTACCAGGCTGACATTATTAGTGCATTCCAGTCTATAGACTACAGCCAATTAGTTAATATCTAATATCTGTAACGGTACAGAAAAACCGAGCAACAAGCGCAAACCTTCTTAAGATCATGTAACTTTAAGAGGAAGCCAAAGGAGTCAAACAACAAGTGGTTACTGCTTCGTTGAAGGAACCAAAAGGTTGGCATAGATTGCAATATTTCTATCGAAACCTCGTTCCCAATTGTACGTTCATATTATAAACATCCACTGATTTCTCGTGGTGTACAGTTGGCGTTACAAATTGGCAAAAATTTAATAAAACTTCATTAATTCTATAAAGTTTACTTGGATTTTACTAAATGTCATTGGACCATCGCATTGCAACCACACAATGTTTGGCAAAGATGTTTAATTCCGAGAATCTGGAGGGAGGGCGTACAACTCTGAGCATTTTCAACGCGACCATCGCTGATATAACAACGTTAAACAGAATGATCACTGATAAGTGGTTTACACAGAACCGCCATTTTCTTGGTTGAAATATTAGTCGCACAACACAAGGTTATGAACGGGAGTAGAAGGCTCTGAGGCTAGAGAAAGACAGTGTCTTAGGTATCTTGAGCCATCATTACGCCGTTTTTCATCCTTCATGTATGTCAACGACATTTCTTCAGTGCTCACGTGGAGAGACAGATTGCCCACCTACATTTACTATCACCTCTCCAGCAGTTCAACACAGTTTGGCCCAAGTGTATTGCTGACATTAGACGCGATAACGAGCGATAAATATCCGGGAGACACAAATAACTCCTACATCATGACCCACTTCTTTCGAAGACAGCTGAGCATGTTGACATGTGACCCGTTTTTGATATTACTCGAGATTTACGCCCGGCCAAACCCTTGAGCCTATAACATTATTGAAGTTTTCTCCTTAAGAAAGTTTGGTATCTCTTGAAACGAGAGTAGAGGCGTGAGACAAATGAATTTACATAATCGAAAGGCAAATCGTATGGGGATCAATTTCATTGGGTATGGCTGTTTCGCCTCAGCTATAAAAGGATGAAGAAGGATGGGCTCATGGTATAGAACATCCTGAGTAGTCCAGGTTACCGCACCCCCCGAGGCCAATTAATCCATCCATTCGTACCTTCACACATATGTACATACATGCCTACATACACAACTAAATTAATATGTACATAAACAAACACGTTCATTCATATACATGTGCATATATACATACAGACTTACACATACAGACATACATAGACGCACACGTACATTGATACGTGTTACATGCAAAGACAAAACTTAAATGTACCTCTAAGGCAATACGCTATTACACTTACTGGTCTTATACCCTTTACACCCCCTGTCGCCTCCTCACCCAAGCATTTTCCCTGATTTGACAAATCATTATTGCAAATTATTCACTTGTCTTCATCTATCTATTTATTTGTTTTGTAAGTTTTATCTTCTATTTGCGTCTGTTCATTATTCCCGTTTTGATCACAAAACTTTGTTGCGACCAACCAAACGGTCAGCCTGTGGTGTGAAAGGTGCCAGTAAAAATGATCTCACCATTTCTGGGACGCAAATTCTCACCTACCCTCAAAATATACCGACCTCCGAAAAACTGTCAAGTGAAATACGGCTAATGCAGCTGGGTGGATAAAATATCTTCACTAGATGCCATCAAATATCTGAAACCACTTCTTAACATTGAAGTGGAAGTACAAAGTAACTATTCGATTCATATTCGTCTCTTACAAGCATGTTGTTCATTGAATTTCGGTTTCTATGGTACCGGTTCCGGCAGTTTTGAAAATCTCTTCAAGGTAGTTCGGAGTTGGTTACCACATCTTCAGTGATTTTAGCGCAATAAAATAAGTAATCACTACAAAATAGTCCGTGCTATTCATTAAAGTAATTATTATAAGGACCTTTTATCGTATCTCCCTTGCAAACCTGTGAAAATTGTTAGATTTTTTTTCAGTGATTACGCTATTTATGATTTAGTTTGTGCATTGTTGGGTGTAGAATAGTTCAAAACCTTAGATTTTGGTTTAATGATTCGTGCTCTTTTGTTCATCTTGGTCTTACACATTGTTCTCCACAATATACGTCATTGCATCTAGTCAGTGATTATATCTAAAAGTGATGAGACCATAATTTATGGACGACCTTTGAGCGACGCTAAAGTGACCTTGAGAATGTCCGCCTGCTTACTGGGGCTGAATGAGGTTTATAAAGAAGTATGGAGAATAAGGATTATGATTTACAGTTGATGGTAAGGGTTAGGGTTTAGATTTATGGTTTTCATCACGAACTGACATTATCCAAAATGCCAAAACGCTATTTAGACAAATAAGTGAGTGAATTTCGCGCTCAAATCCAGGACCTGTTATCCTAAATCTGATTGGTTCGTCCATAAATTATAGTCTCGCTCAAAATTTTCATAAGTATTTGGTTGGATGAACACCATCATTTGTTGCTTGTTGAACGATGAATCATACGATATTTTTGATTTATGGACAGAAAACAAAGTGACTTAACTGGCGTTTTATGACATCTGTTTTTGCACGTCTACTCACTTTTGGATGCGCTTACTGCCTAAAATCAAGTCAGGCGAACAACAATGGTGAAATCGAGGCGGGCATTCTTTGAAGAAATTTGACGGAATTCTTGGCGGAGATGCATCAGAATGTTGCCTCTTTCGTCTGCCACAGGGAGATTGTGAATGCTTTCTTAAATCTCTCTCTTGGTGAGCATTGTTTCGGAATTTTGATCTCAGCAAAAGTAGCCCACTTTTATCCTAAGTATCTGCGTTCGCTAATACTTTCATACGAAGGTCAACTTCCAAGCAGTTCAACTAATTTAGGAGGTTGATTTGTGTGTAATAAGTCACTTAATTTCGAAAATTTAAACCACGACTTACAAAATTATTGACATTACCAGAATTTTAGTTGTTGTTGTCTCCATAAAGTATCACAGTCATAGATTGAATCCTAAAATGGAATAAGAATTATTAGTTAGTCCTGGGTTCCCCTTAAATTATTTACCGATAATACGTACAAACATTGAATGAGACTTACTGTTGTGTATGATAAAACAAATCGCTTCTGTTAGAAAATTCTGATAGCAGTCAGATTCGCAGGTTGTTACGTACATGTCTTTTCCTTCTGGAATAACGGCTATTCAATTTTTCTTTCATGTCATTAAAGAATCTTTGCAAGATCTTCAGAGAGAACGGATGATTAAAATTCCAAATCTACTGAGCTTAATGAATAAAGACCATCAAATACAATTTTACTCCCCAAACTTTAGCAAACTCTACGCTTGTGAATATTTCTTTCGATGATATCCCCAAAGAGTGTAAACCTGGCACCCAGTTATGGCTGTATAACACGCTGGAACAAATAAAATAAGTGTTTCCGATCTGTCGATCGCCAGTTTGGTGGCTTTTGCCATCTGAAATGAGAATAAATTAATAAACAAATCCGTGGCCCTATGGGTTTTTGTCTGATGTTTTCACCTTAAAGACATGTATCCAGTTTACGGTAACATGTCGGATTCTAGCTTCCTTGATATACCATCATTGTCTCATATACATTAGTAATATTTGGGCAAGACCGTTCTAGCTAGTAATTACAGTTTTACAACGATAGATGGAAGTTCTAACGATGACACTGTTAAACTATTACAGAACGTTTCTGACCTATTTAAGCTCTGGCGGCCAGTAGTATTATCAGCCCTCACATTTAGAGTGTGGTTCATACCTAAGTACCCGGAGAATGGGTTGACATTATATAATATCAGCCGATTTGTTCAAAAACATACATTGCTAAATCTTCATCAATTAGACCCACAAGTTGATGCTTCATGGTCAAGGAGTCACGAATTTTAGAGAAGATACGTCATACTTTCAAGCAAGATAGATTTAATGTATCGTTCTAACATGCTAATAAGTACACTGCTACAATGTTGCTAATGGGTGTTAATCGCACAGAGGATCTCATAATGTTTAAATAATATTACTCCTGTTCTAGATAGCAGAGAAGGAGAGAACTGAGGAAAAAAATAAAATGGAAAAATGAACTAAAAGACATGAGAAGGTAGGGCGATAACGGCATACATGGTGAAATATTAGGCTTCAAAAAGAAATATGTAAAGTAACAGCTGATCTAAGCCACTATGACATGAAGTATTAACTAATTTATCTGATCATTATTCTCACTTATATAGTAAGAAGCCTGTACAATAAGAAACTCCAGTTCTAACGAATGTATTTTTAATAGAAGAACGGGATTCTGAGCTAATTAACACGTGTGCGTTTTGTGTTTCGTCAAGTTCTTGTTAGCTGTTTACAATCTGTGTTATTTAAAAGTCAAAATTACAAGGTGGATTAGAAGCATTTAGACAAATGAATTTCATTGAGAGGTGTTGTGGACACATATCAGAATAGTACAGCAGAGATGTAGTTGAATTAACAGAATAAATAAAAATATTGCGAATGTATATCATCTCCAGTTAGAAACTTTAAAATATTGATAGTAATAATAAATTAAAGGGTTAACAATAAGCGACTATATAGTGAGAAGATGCTAATAATTCAGAAAGAAATAGGTAAATCTCAGTTAAAACTAAAACTACTGAGTTAGAAGAGATTCGAAAAAGTGAATTGATAGTATACAATTAAAAAGGATTTTACGACGCTAGGAACTAGTTTATGTTAATAGGGCTAGAAAACTTTAACTACTGTCTGCTTTTAAACATATAATTCAGGTTTTCCAGCTCGATATCATCAAAATCTTTTTACTACATTTTATCGTATCTTATTATTTCGATGGTGAAGTCATGTTAAAGTTCATTAAATAATACTGTCCCTCAAACTACCGTGTCTCAAACAATACCTACATTCTGTAATGAAGACGGAGTACGATTTGATGCGTAGTGAAACTGCAGTCAGAATAATTACTTTGTTTTGGGTCTCAACATTTTGTTCAATGGCTGTTACAATGGTGCAATATATGCAGAAGAACGCGTTCGATAAGGCTTGCCTCCAAACTAACTAGAAGCAACTGCGTTTGCTACAAATTTAGACCTTTGACTCGTTTGGTGCAGTTTCCTCATGTTTGATTCCCATCTAGTTAATTCTCTTTTCTTTGCGATTATGAGTTGTGGTAGCTTGAATCGGCAAACACTAATGCTAGGTTCTGGAGTTACTGCCTCATCATGACCCTGGTTTTCAGTTCACATCCCTAAAAATTTGTGTCAACATAAACTCCTCCCCATGTTCTAGATTCATTCCTCTTGCAGTGTCGGGAGTCATGAAGTCAGTCAATGGATCATTGGGATAGATGAAATGTTATTTATCATGTCGGTTATCATGTTTTGAAACATTTTAAAGTTAAACAAAAAATCTACCTCGCACAGCAAAAATAAAAACCATCAAAACACACATGAGAACTTATAGGTTCTCGAATTGCCTTTTAAACTGTTGGGTTTATAGAAGTTTGACTGACCACCTTTAGCAACAATAAAAGCATATTTGGGATGTGCATCTCTCCATCTAAATACCAAGCATTGTTTCAAGAGTTGTATGCGTCAGCACCTGAATTGGTAATAGGGGTGAAGTAGTTGAACTTATCGACCACTTCATTTATCTCGAAAATCTGATTAACCCTGTTGGGTGAGTGTCTGTCAGAATATCGACACAAATTCAGAAGACTCGATCGGCTTTTGCCAACTTGGATCACTTGTGGCGTAGATAATATATCTGTTTGGCAATCAAAGGACAAGTTTGCTGTGCACAAGTTCGTCGCGCTTTTCTTTATGGCTACGAAGCTTCTCTTAAAAATAGACGATATTTGTAGGTTACTAGGATCCGATCATAGGTGTCTTCAAAGCATCGCTAGTGTATTTTGGCACCACTGAGTGAGCAATGCCAAGGTTAGGGATAAGATATCAGGTGAATATGACATTGATGATGTAGGCTGGGAGATTACTAGGGGCTGTCAAGTCAAGAAATGGCATCAGTTCATGAAGAATGACTATTGGGTTAAGTCATGTAGTTAGGTGTAGACTACCTGTCTGAGATCCGCGTGATTATGTTACCAATGGTTAGACTTTGAATGTAGTAGCGAAGTCGTTTAAAATAGCCCAGATACACCCTATTTTTATCTTGCGTTAGACCCTAGATTTATAGATTCCTCACAAATTCTGTTTCGTTATTTCACAAATTTATCTTAGATGCCTAGTCTTTCCTATTGCCGTTAATAGTGTTGGTTTGAATTGTTTTTTCTGACTAGCGTTTTTTAGCGAGTTAGCTTTCTACGAGATGGGGTCGCTCATCCCATGCCCAACCCTTCTCCTTCATCCGGGTTCGGGATCGTCAGTAACCCGAAAATGGGCTTCAGGCGAAATTTTTTAATACTGTTACCACATTTAATACTCTGGGATTCGCTCTGACGATTTTCACGTCTCTGTGCTAACGAGATATGGCAACTTGGGCCGATATGCATGCGTGCCAGGTTATACATTACGTCTGTTTGACTGACTGACTGAGCTAAAGGAAACATGCGTTAGTAGATTAAGACAAACTCAACACAGGATATGACAGGTCGTGAATTTTTTCTCAGTCTCCATCACGGCTAATAACCAAATAAAACGAAGTATTAACACAGTCACGGTGACAGCTTGAGATACCATAACTTGAAAAGAAACGTCCCAATCAGCAAAGACGATATCGTGTGAGATCTATTATCTTCTATGAGACGTAATCTCCAGGCCTGGACCTTTTACCTGTATCACTGTTGAATGCAATATCAAGTGCTATCTTTTCAAATTCTTTATGGAAAATAGGTTTCTTGAATCTAACAAACAGCTTCAGATGATTTTATCAATTGACGTAAAACGAGCATTTGTAATTTGTCGCTTTAACCGCTTATTGTTGAACCCCATGAACTTCACTGCTGCTTTGAATGTTTTAAATGTATATCCACAAATCGATATTTTATTACCCTTTGACAAATAGAAGGAAATCTCCTTACTTCTAGAGTTACCACAGAAGCTTATAACTAACGATATTATTTGACCAACATGTGAAACCTTAAAGTCACTAGTGACTTTTAAAAGGTCCACTTACTTTTCATAAAATGGGTATTCACTAATAATAAGTTTGAATAAAATCACTAGGTAAAATTTGCATGAAGTCTTTCTGTCAACGTATAAAATCTATCAAAGTGATCAGGAGAATAGCCATCAGGCCTTGCAATATTCAGCTCGTTGGTCGAATAGTCTAATGACTAGCATAACATATTTCTGGGTGGTACATTAGTTACAATACTTCTGGTCTGATTGATGTATGAAGCAGTCAAATCCATTCAACTTGGACAAATATCTTAAACGAACTACCAAGTGCTTTTTGCATTTTATTCTTTCAAAAAGACATTTATTGGGCCACATCCTGTTTTGGTGTGTTTTTTAGTAATAGACAAGTTTTGCTCTCTCTTGTATTTTAAGACCTCAAGACCGTACATGATTTTAAATATCATTTTAGGCCTTGAAATTATACAACTTGTTTCAGAAATGTCCAGGGAAAATTCTCCATATATTCATATTGAAAGAACACTCTTGATTATTAAGCCGGACATTATTAATTATGCAGATAAAATAGAAGAGCTTATCTTACAAAAAGGATTCTTGATAATACAGGTAAACACCGATTCCCCAGAATGTATAACCAAAATTGATAGAAGAGACGCGTTCATTTGACACCAGAACAAGCAAGCGAATTTTATGCAGAACATTACGGGAAAATATTTTATGCAACGTTAATTGCCTACATTAGCAGTGGTCCGATAGAGGTACTAGTCATAGCTAGAGAAAATGCTATATCTATTCTTCGTGAATTAATTGGTCCACAAAATGCATTTAAAGCTAAGGCGACGGTACCTGCAAGGTTAACTTACTAACATGAAACTTGAACATTCTTATCGAATATTTCTTGTGTAGTTTAAGAGCTATTTATGGTACAGATGATCAACAGAATGGAATACATGGAAGCGATTCGTTTACAAGTGCTGAAAGAGAAATCAGATTCTTCTTCCCAGATAGTAAGTAGCTTGAATAAAAATTTGTATTTCTTTCTCACGAATCTCACTAAACTCGCCATGCTACTAATAATCATATTCTTACTGAAACTAACTTTGGGGCGATTTTTCAAAGATCCAGCGAGAATGTATGACCTATGGAATTGAACCATGTCGACTATGAGATAAGCACCATTGATTACAGTGCATGATAGTCATTCAATATTGGAGAGTGACTTGAGTTGAAAACATGAGCCCCTCGATGGCAGTTCAGTAATTTGAAGTTTGAGCCCTGATAGGATTGTTTAGGGAAGCTGACGAGGAGTCTTACATTAGAACAAAACGCCGCTCTAGTGCTTTCTGATTTTTAACAGCTTCTCAGCTAAATCTAGTACCTGATATAAAATATAAACTATTTTTTACTGTATGCTTATGATATTGGAAACTATGATTACGTGGCGCCAAAGAATCACTCAGAAATCAACTTCAGTTCGTCATTTTGCCTTAAAATTCACGTAAGCCTATTAGCTTTTTGTTTACATTTCAACATGTGTTTGGTTCACTCACTTTTACAGTAAGAGAAATGGTTAAGAAAGCATTTGTAAGATAAAGGTTAGTGTAAGATAAAAATGCTAAGATAAATCAAATTAGCTTTAAAACAATGATGGGTTGATAACGATATGCTTTGAATGGTCAAAGTTGACCGAGCATATCAACAGGAAAGGGAAGATATATTGATGCGTCCTAGTTTTTATCCATCATAAAAGTTCCAAATATCTCGAGTAGAAAATTTGTGAAAATTATGTAATGAATTAGCACACTGATCCACGATTTCCAGACTCCAAGACGGTTCCGTGTGTATAAAGTAAAATCCTGACGTGGAACCCAAATATTGTTGTAAAAATTCATTTTCCCTTCTGGCATATGCACATCACTAAACCCATTTGAAGTTAATAGAATCCATAAAGCTGTCTACGAAATTCAATACTAAGCGTCAAATCTACCTTTGGTAGCTCACATCAGTACTTCTCAGATAACCAAGTCACCCAAATAAGTAAACAGCCAAGATACCTAAAGATTTCACCCCCTCATTTTTGAACTAGATTTCAGTGCGAAACCATCATTTTGCTGTTAGCTTGTATGAAGATATGAGATCTAATCCACCTAAAATATGTAAACAGGATGCTTTGCGAAGGGTACTTTCAAGAATACAGCAGGTAGATTGACTAGTCAAAATAATACAAACTTGAAATATGTTTAAACAAAGTTGTCATGTTTTTAAAACTGTGTGGTTATTTTTTTCGCACAATGTAATGTTCTTATTATTAAAATTACTCATTCATTTAGTGATCGTTGCACCGATCCCCGTAAGACTTGCAGCAAAAGATTACTTCGTTCGGAATGTAAACCCAACTTTACTAAAAGGTTTGACAGAACTGTGCAAACAAAAACCTAAGGACCCAGTAGTAAGTTGATATTTCTTATCGTCTGAGCTTATTGATTTTTTCGAAGATATTTTCGACCTCACGTAATAGCATGTAATAAATACAGGATTATAAAGTTCTCATGGTTTTAAATGAACCTGGACTGTTTTTGTTAAAAGCTTTAATTTCTTGCCGTTGATTTACTAAACTGAGCTAATTAATCACTGAAACATTTTTTAATATCGAAATTTATTGATTTGGAAGTTTGCTTTTATTCTAGTATAGACTTAATAAACACTAGAATGAAGTATGTACCTAGTTAATGGATCCCAAATACTGTAGAATTTAAATTCTTAGTTCCAACAATGACCACAATTAAAATAAAAGTTTGGATAAAATAATGGCAGTACGCGGAGTGGTAAAATTGAATGTGGAAAGTAAAACAAACCGGGACTGCCACAATTATATTGGATACGATACTCTCATTTTGTAGGTAAAAGACGATTTCGCGTTCAGAAATACGACAGCGTAAAGAAACAACAGATGACGCAATGCTTCTTTGTTTAGAAATTAGGCATTCAGTAATATCACATTGTTCTTTGACAATAATGTAATCAACGAGGCCGTTAAGTCGCCAAAAACAATTGACGGATAAGATTATCTGATTGTTATTAAGTTTTATATGAATATTCAACTTCAATGATTTTTTAAATGCTCAGTTAAATGGTAAGTTAATGGGCTACTGGGATGCCATATTTTGTTTAGACGCATGGTGACGTCTTTTATCTGTGCATTGATGTTTCAGTGTAATTGGATTTCGTCAAATTGGGTGACCTTTTACTTGCAAAATGATTTTATGCTTGTGAATAGCTCAATGACATGTACCTGATTCATTAGCAAGAGAATAAAATAAAAACACAGCTCTCCGCAAAGCTCAATAATTTCACGTGAAATTTCAGTAAAATATTTCCGTCTACCTACAATTTTGTAAGTTAAAATATCCCAATGATAAGGACATATTAAATTGCTCCAAACATTGTTCAACTGGGTTCCTTTCACCAGCTTCCCAATTACCATATAGCTGTGATCGGTTCCCTATACTATTTTGATCATGTTGTTCAAATAAATTAAATTTCAGTTATCAGTTGAGATTGATTTTAACGCTGTTGAGCCACTGAAGATAGATGTTCATTTAATAAAAACTGAGTATTATTACTTAACGTCTCCTTAATTTTCACGTACATAAGAGACTTGAGACTGTAAACATTTGACATTGAATGGTTTTTATTGATAACAAATGCTTGTGTTTGATTTTCTGCTTGCTTAGCTTTGGCTGGCCGACTGGCTGCTGGAAAATAATCCAAATAAACCTCATCCCATCGATATGGTCACCTCTTGAAATACGAATAAGAAAATTTTAAAGAACGTATGAAGGATTATGCGAATGCAGTTTTCAAAAGAACCTATAGTCATATCTGAAAATAAACATATACTTCGTTTCGTTAAATTTCTTCATAGTAATGGATGTGAAGCGGTAGTGGGTTGCAGTCTAGCGTGACGAGTTCCGTGTTACCTGTAATGTATTTACGAATTGACCACCGAGTGAAAGCACATCAATGGTGCTTAATTTATATAGGAGTACCAGTACTTGAATACCTTGTAATCACCAAGTAAATAGGTTGCCAAAACACTATAACTTGCTAGCATGTTCGGAAGTGTACATCTGTAGATATAGTTAAACCACTTATAAGCATTTCGAAATTTGACCTTAAATCGACTTTAATTTAGCCGAAGAATTCAGTGGCATTTCCAGTTTTACTATCAACTAGTTCAACGGATATACTTGGGGTTATGAGGCACTATTTCATACTCACTTTTTAAAAAATAGTTTAAGAGGGGATTCGCTCTCTTGTCCATATAATCAAACTTTTATTACTAATTACAAGCATATATTCGTATGAGACCATTGCTAAACATACCTTACCATGCGACTGAGAAACGTTCTATAAAATTCCTTGGACCACTTCACTAAAGACGTTGCAAAACAATGCGAAAGATAATTGTTAGGATGCCAATAAGATGGAGAATTAGAAAGTTGATGAGAAATTTATGGTATCACTTGGTGTGTCAGCATTACTCACGAATGTACCCTTAGTGGGAACAGGAGATTATAAATCCATAGGATAACTGATAGTACTGAATATATTGTATGATACAGATATATATACGGATATATCTAGAACGTACTCTAGTAGCTACGAACAAGCCAGTGATCGTAGATAGAAGATTGTGAACGCACATGAAGGCAGTATATTAGAATTACAATAAAGCACACAATTATGAACAAATCAGTTATCATTTTATATATAAAAAAATCACATTTACAATAGCTTAAGTAGAATTCTAAACTATTGTACTTCACTTAACAAGGGGTTCGAATATTTATTGAATATATACCATACTTCGTATTGGGTGAGGCTACTGCATTATCTGGGATAGATTATTTTTATTATAAGCAAATAGGATTGGAACGAAATTAGCTGGATCCTCAAAACCCATTTGATTAGTGTGGCTGTTATGTAAATTTGGACAATCCCTATTCACTGTGCGAGTGATGAATTTGGCAATATTCTTTAGTAAACGTCTCAAGGATAGTCGAAAAGTATTTTTTGATAGCAACTTGTAAGCACTCCATGTTCGAACAAACATATCTTTCATCAAGCGACTTTGCCGGTTTCATCAGTACGAGAAGGTATAACACACATTTATGAGCTGGAAAAGTTCATTCATTCGGCTTTTCAGTTCGTTGAGCTTTGTTGCACGAATAGAACCGGCCGAAATTTTCAGGGATTAGACGAAATTTTTTATTTAAACATAAAAATAGAGATGTCTCGAAGTGAACAAATCTTTGCACTTCCACTAATCAAGTTTCTGGGTAACTTATCTGAAATGTTTTCAGCCAATAAAGTTTCACTTTAAGTATTCCTAAAATACGTAAGCCAAGTACAGACTCGTACTATAGGTTGTTACAGAGTTAGTCGGATTTCAGCGATCTCAACAGGAACTAGTCTTAGATAGGTGACCAATAAAGACCAGAGAGTGATCAACATATATAGACCATAATCACTGACTGAAATTTCACAAGTCATAAGTGAATAATTATCATGTTGATCTAATAAATACAACCACGGCAGATAGGAAGTTTACGTCCCGTAATACTTGACATAGAAATTTAATTATGTTCTGTCAAAAGATTTGAATCTATTAAATCATTTCCCTGAAATAGTGGATTCGATGCTACAAATACCGAAGATAAAATAAACGCATATCATTATTTTTGAATGTGAAACGAATTACTTAGTCGTAAATAAAAAACGATGTATTTATTCTTCGTTAATATCAAGATTAATAGTCAAATCTAAATAAAGAGGTTTATTATAACAGGTAGCGAAATGAGTACTGATGCGATAAATAAATCCATCTTGCCAGATTCGAAGAGTTTGGCATTACCAGATGGGTATGATTTCAGCGAGTCTACATTCTAATAATTTATCAAGCCCGTAGCCACATTTATGTACTGCTTTTCAATTCGTTGAATTAATACTATTATTTTTACGAGAACCAGGATTAGTATTATTTAAATGGGGATTTATACAACCTTGATAATAGTTAGTTATGGCAGCTGAGCAATATATTGAGAACTCTCAAATCCCACACAGAGTTCATTCATAGAATTATAATCAATAGGGACAGCTCTAACCTCCTAGAATGAGCATTTTGAAAAGTTTCAGCTCTCATCAAAGATTCGGTATATTAATTTCAGTGACTAAACGATCACAAAATTAAATATAAAGCAATATTTGCTGGTGATTTTTGAATTTCAAGAATGAAATCACAAACTTAGGTCGTTTCATGGAGATCTATTCATTTTCACTCTCCATTCACTGTTGCTGCTTTTTAGACGATCGAATAATGGTTATTCAAGATTTTCATACATTATTGCAATAGGTTTCTTTTGAAAAGTCAGGTTTTTTCAAAGATTATATGGACATTTATAGATGAGTGAAAGGAAATTGACTAACATTTTATCTTCCTTGAGATCTATTCTATACTATTTGAGTAGAGACGAAGCTCTTGAATGATACGTTGATGAATAATGGTTATTCATTGAAGTTCATAAACCGCTGGAAGGGTTGCAATATGATTAGATGTATGACACCTCTGGCACCCAAAAAGCTAATTTACATTATGTTACCATTTAGAGGCGACACAAATAGTCTCATGTTGAAACGCAGACTTAAATTAGCTATCAACCGAATATTTTATGCACCCCAACCTGTCATTATTGAAAAGACAAAGTCTGTCTCACCAAAAGTCCAAACAACACGTAAGCGATTGTGTCACATCCTATTGTGTCTATCAATTTACACGTATGTGCGGAACGCGTATATGGGGAGGAGCAATCGTGATGTGCAATCAAGGGTGGGTGAACAAATACCAAAATGGCTGCAGAGACAAACGAATTACAATGGTCAAATAAGATCACTGGATAGATAGATATCATCCTCTATTGCAAAACATTTGACTGAGACTGGTCATAAGTTTGACATCAAATCAGCATTTGTAGTGTCATACAAAAGCCTTAGAGGACATAAACTAAGGTTTAGTGAAGCCTCAGCTATACGGAAACTCAAACCCTCTTCACGCGTCCACTTATTGGCTTAGTTATCCTTACTGTTTTTGGATGAGTGTTTGTATGTGCACAGCTTATCCTACTCATCACATGCCTGTTGATCATTTTTATCTGGCTATATATATTGGTTAACACATGAATAAATCGAGTTTTCTATCTTATGTCCTCCAATATGTTATGTTCTGACCTCTTTGTTTCGTCTCCCTGATTTCCTGTTGATGTAACTGAGTGTATGATATAAACATATACAAATTCCATTCTCGTATTCGGGTAACTTAACTCAGTTATTCAGTAACGCAGATCAGGTCAGTAATTATACACGAGGATAGCTGGCATGTGTATTCCAATAATGACCAATCATTAATGCAGTTCACATGGTGTTAGATTAAAGGGCTCCTGGACCACTGAGTCGGTATCCAGCGGTGTTCGTGTCTAACCTCAACCGATCCACGAAATTGTGCGACCATCTTTTATTGTAATGAGGTAGACACCTGTCTTTACCCGACACAGACTAACTCCACTGGTCACGGCTTCTCACCAGAACTCCGAGAATTTCCTCACGAAGCTATTCACTAGTGAGTACATGGTAATTATCAGTATAGTGTTGTGGAGATTGGTTTGTTTTTGAATGGGTTCGAATCCTGTGCGCGGGGTCGTGGATGTACAATGCTGAGGTATCCCACAATAGGACAAAACGGCCATCCAGTGCTTTTAGGTTTCCAACGGGGTCTAACATCAATCAGTTCATGATCTCAATCAAAAACATGATAATTTCCACAACCCTATACTGATGAATAATGGAATTCCCTACCACTACACGTGACATCGTGACCTCAATTTAAAACATCTAAAAAAAGGATTAGATCTTTACGGTGGCACTAAATTCAAGGATTAATATAGGTCGATAACCTTCTGATTCTTACAATAGAAGACTAAAGACATTGAACATTTGAAGTTGCTCCGAAAGTTCGTGGTTGATTTGTAGGTTGTGAGTCTCATCGGATTCTTTTTTCTTGGTCACCTTGAATTTCGTTTCGCTTCCTATGTGCCTGGTTTTACAATCATAGATAATTGTAGTCTGTTGGAGTATTCATCTCCAGTTCGCACTGATTAAGATTAAAATATTTTCTGTCAGTACATAAAGTTAATGGTTTTTTGGTAAGATTCCGCGAGCGTCTAAGCTGTTCCTGAATGAGACGACTTCAGTTGTGAACATATTCCGGCAGTACGTCTTAATGATTGATTACTCCACAAAGTCTGTGCTTGGGCATTCTCTCCGTTTTTGGATTTAAAATACACCTATCTCCTATTTATTCCAACGTGTTTGTAGTAGAAAAGACATATCAAATCCGAATCCATTTCTCAGTATCCAGTGCGCTAAGATTAATTTCTCACTTTTTGGTATATATGGCTAATTAATAGGGTTACATAATTTATGCAAGCGGCTCCATAGATCGAAAGATAGTGCAGAGTTGATGAGATCCTTCTATCAGCTTTCATTACATTAAAGCAAGTCGGCGTCTATGGTTAGTAATTTTTCGTAATAAGCCGGACAAAACAGTTTGTGGTGGTTTGTTCTAGAACTTAAAATACGTTAAAGCTTTGTTTTTATATTTGATCGCTTCTTCCAGAATTGTCACGAAAAACCAATTAAATTTTGCGACATCTATTGCACCGATAGACTCTCATGAACTCTCATCACCATGCTCCGAACATGAAGAGCATAATCAAATCAGATCTAGGTTAACCAAAAGTCTACGAAACGATCGTGAGCAGTGATCGGGCAACGAAAGCAGAAGAAATAGAAAAGGCTTCGGCTGTGGGTAACCCAAAACAGCTTTTCAGACTAATAAAAGAAACTGGAATTAAGAAGTCATTTGTAAGTGAGACGATTTCAGAAAAAGACGACACTTATCTGCTCTTAGCTCAGACGTTTAGAACGATGGGCGAAACACTTTAAGGAGCAGTTCAGCTGACCTTCAGCTACTCTACAACTGTTCACCATTCCAAAACAGCCTGAATATAACACTGCACTAGGTCTCTCAACTCTAGTTGAAGTTCAAAAAGCTATAGCCAATCTGAACGAGAAAGAGCATCTGGTCCAGATGCATTAGCTCCAGAGGTCTTTAAGAATAGTGATCCAATTGTAGCGATTAGGTTGACTAATAGTTTAACTAAAGTATGGGACTTAGACGTAATCCCATCTGACTGGTCACAATCACTGATTGTCCCAATATATAAGAGAGGGCTAAAATCAACCTGTGATAACTATAGAGAGACTAGTTTAACTAATATAGCATTTAAAATACTAGCCTCAATAATTATCGGGCGCTTTGCAATGACTTGTGAATTGCAAACATGAGAAAATCAGGCTGGTTTCAGGACTGGTTGTGGTTGTATCGACCATATTCACTACTCGTCAGACTCAGTACTGATGTGCATCAACACCGGAACTGATGATAAGGAGTGAAGTAGTTGAACGCGTCGACGACTTCACTTTTCTTGGAAGTCTGATCAGCCCTAATGGGTTGGTGTCTGACGAAATCTCAGCACGGATTCAGAAAGCTCGTTTGGCTTTTTCGAACTTACATATGATGAAGGCTAGATATCCGTCTATCAATGGAAGGACGAGTATACTACGCGCCATTTCGTCCTGTTCTACTTTACGGCCGCTATATGTGTCGATTAAGGGTAGAAAATACTCGTAAGCTACTAGTATTTGACCACAGATGCCTTAAAAATATTGCTGGGATCACCGGGTAAATAATATTGAGGTTAGGAGCAGGGTATTGGGGAGCGATCGTAGAGCGGTTGATGAGGTTGTTAATCTTCATCGACTGAGATGGTTAGGCCACGTGATACGTATGCCTGGACACCGATTACCACGACTCGCAGTGCTGACTAGTGTTAGTGATGGTTGAAAGTAAGTTTGGGGCGGCCAAGCCAAAACGTGGCATCAGTCCTTGAAGTCACTAACTGCTAGTATGTGCCATGTTGGTAGATGTAGACTACTTGGACAGAGTCCACGTGACTATCGTAATCAATGGCTGGACACTGGGTGTATACACTCTTTGTTTTCCCTTTGTTCGTGAGATTAAAACTGCCCTATATCTTTCTACGAACTAACCCTTACTTCGTGTACTATATCCCGATATGCGATCTTTCTTTTATATATTACTACCATGGAATTGATTACTTCTATGAATTTGATGTTCATTTTGTTGTGCTAATGAGGTATGACAACTTGGACCGGTGCGTATATGTGCCTGGTTCTACGTTGTAGCTGACTGACTGATTGAAATGAAGTCTTTGCGTTGCTATTATGGTGCGAAGCAATGGTCAGTCAGGTGAGTGACTGGACGCTGGTTGATTAATATGATATACTGATGATTGCGTTGTTGTTTGTCGATTCTATTGTCCGACTCTACATTTGAGATGTATGCGTAGGATCTTCAATGTGACCTAAACAAAATGTAAACCCAACATAATTTAGCTGTCGAAGAAACGGTCTTAGAAGGATTTTACATTTTGACATTCAAATGTGCATATCTCAATTTCCTAACAGGTGAAGTGTATGAGCCGCCGTAAATGTGTGCAGATCTTAATTTCTCCAGTTCACATGTGCACGACCGGGCGAAGTCAGCGATGCAAAACACAAACGTAAATATAATAGTACAAGGGATAAAATTCCTCGAATTATAATCGAAAAGTCAGTTTTACTAATATGGTATCTGAAATGTTTTTTTAGGAATCGTGGACGTGTCTAGATAGCACATCTTTGATTTGTCAATAGAAATGATTAAATTTTCGGAGATATCTGATTTTAAGAGGGTTGATAATTTCACACTTTCTTCTCTGCTTTTATACTACTTGAAGCTTCAGTTGGTCAGTTTTCACTCGTCAGCAATAAATACTACCACTCTGTTTTTTCCATCCAGTCCTAGCGTTAGCAAGTAATGGCCAGTTTGAAATTTTCTAGAATAAGTTTTGCAGAATATCACAGCTACCAAATTCGGTGTCAGTTAAATTATCACCACAGCTCCTAAAAATCTTGTGAAATTTCGGCACTTAGAACACGATTCAATCGCTAGAGCAGTATTTCGTAGATAATGAAGCTCGAACACAGTCACCAAATATCCCAGAAATGGTCGAATTTCGCAGACATTGCGTGGGATTACTTCCACCTGACATATTCCATCCTGACTAATATTATGACGTCAAAGGTGCGATAAACCGTTTTGGGGTTTATATTAGGTGGATTAATCTCATATTCCGCTACACAACCAGTACTTGTACAGCTGCTCCAGCACAAGAACTCAACAGTTTACTACAAAAGCCAAGTAAATACTCAGAATTGTTATTTATTTATATAAAACATTACATCCTTGCAAGCCACCACCACTCTTGAAGAACTACTTTGCATTGCGAAGATACTAGGCATACTTATGAACGCTAATTGCTAATAATGAAATAAGATTGTTATTATTTTATTACTATAAATTGCTAACTGAAGTTCAACTTGGGAGGATTTGTGAGTTCAGTCAGTGCAGATTTAAACGACGTGATAAGTTAATAGTTGGTTCTAAAAGTAGCTAGTTTTGACACTTGGGATTTAAGAGAATATATATATTTCTTGGCGACCTTAACGAACAGAAGTTTGAAGCGTGCCTATAGATGTGCGGAATCTAGGTACTTACCTTAAGTGGAGCGGTAGTCTTTTTTCAGATCTGACAATGAACAAATGATGATAATATAGTCGATTCCAGTCCATCCTTGTGTTGCAGACGGACTGGGAAAGATGATGCACAGAAGCAGGTTATGCTATGTAAAAAGTTCCGGAAAATGGTCCCATTACTTAGCTTTGGACCAACGAGTCTTCATTGGGCACAGAAACGTTCTTGTTTGCATTTCTCACAACAATGTCGAACGCGCTTTTCTGGAAATTCATTTTTATAACACCTGAACTAGTATCCATCGAATCATAGGTGAAGACGATCAAGTTACATGGTGATACGTTTGTACGCTTTACTAATGAATCGCTACGTCGACTTCAGTATCGTGAAGGAATCCGTTCTTTCCACTTCTTCCTACCCCCTAGCCAGAGTAAAAACACCGGCTTTACAAATGATGCTTTTTGATTTTGACCCAATATGAGTGAGAAAAATACATTAAGTTTGTCGATTCATATTGTCAATAAAAAATAAAAAGGATATTCGAACTGAGTATGTGTTGAGATTCCACATCCTCAACACGTCATTCCCCATGTTAGTTTCCAATCTCTTTAACGAAATCTTCTAACCTAAAAAACAAAAAATATTGTTGTCTTTGCTCTAGCTCTTAGTGTCACACCGAACCTGTCCAGCGCGCCGACTCTACGGAGTTTCTCGATAAAGCATACGTTAAGCGTTTTCAATCGAGCGCATTCGTAATACTCCACTAAAGCCTTGAATATTAGTCTCAGTTACACAGCATACGTCAATGTCGAGGCTTCAGTGACAATTAAAGCTGTCAGTTGTTCGATCTGCACCAGTCAGTGAGTGCTGACGGCAACGAGCTAAAATAGCACACGTGGTTTCCTAGAAGTTGTGTCAGGTTTGTTTAGCGACTGCGCATAACTTTTAACAGTAATTAGGATAAAGATTGAGAAAAGAAAAAGTACAATAAAAAAGTAGGACATCAAAGTAAAATGAAACAAATTTGTTTTCATATCCTTCGAACACGATCGTCTAATATAATTGAATCATGGTGATTTCTGAAGTCTCATGGATATACAGTTCCCAACAGGTGGCTGTCTCAAAGAACCTTTGCTCCTGGCCTTCGATTGAAGCACGTCAAATGTTGCCTGGTGGTGGTTGGTTCTTTACTGCAACGTTGTAGTTTAATTATTTGAAAGTGTGTAAGTATTTGAATTTTACACTTCTTTTTCAAGAAGTGCACATCTTAATTGCCATGTAGACTGCATTCCACCACTTATGTCGGTGAAATGTATCTATACTTTCACTTTCCGTTTGTCCCATTTGTGTACTAAAACAGAATTGATACTTAGTTTGTTTATCTAAACTTTATTTCAAAACGCAAATATATTTTGTCAAAATAAACTTACATACGTCATGACTTTTACTCAGGTGTCATCATGGAACAATGTGTAGCTGATTGTCTTAACAGTGATGATTGTGTGATGATTGTATGGTCGGGCAAAGTTCAAGAAGACGTTATGCGTGGTCTACAAGTGGCTGTTTCTACATATGTTAAGAAGCTGCAGTTCGAAAATCTGGAGAAATTCATGGACAGTTCAACTGTAGATAGTCAGTTTCACGATTGTTCTGTCATACTATGTGGTTGGCCTAACTCGATAGGCGTAAACATACTCAAACTTGGCTTGCTATCAAACCTTTTATCCTGTTTGCGACCTGGTGGGCGATTTTTTGGTCGTGACTTAATTACGGGTGACTGGGATTCTTTGAAAAAGAACCTAACTCTTTCTGGGTACATAAATCCTTACCAGGTATGATTTTTATAGTATGCGAAGTCATAGCTACAGAATTATGTGTTATAGCCTTTTTTTCAGAGTTTTGTTTCAAGTAAAGCAGCAGTAAATCAAGCCTATTTTTTACGTCGTTAATATTTTCACGCATGTGTATCTCATTTAGTGTATCATAAGTGATTATTGAAGTCGAATAGTAAATAAAGATTTGTAGTGACCAGTAGCTCTATATAAGTGTTATGTCCCGATAAGCATAATGAATGGTAACTTTTGTGATCCATTTATGGACCAATATTATGCGCATATTTTTATCGTATAATTGTTAGATAGCTAAATTATACATATTCATGTCCTCCTTATTACGAGCTTTATTTTGACCTATGAACTATTATTACATGCTTTACCATTCTTGAATTATGCCCTGTCTATAAATTACTACCTCACACATTCACAGTTATATTTGACCAAATCTTGTATAAATGTTGTTTCCTATTTTATTGGTACAATGTGGTCTGTCTGGTTGGTATATAAACCGAGTATGCTTGAAATAAGTGGTTCATATCGCAGAGGTTGACATTGGTGTTCTGGACTTAACTGGCTGGGCTGGGCAGGGAGTAGGACCGATAAGTACTCTAGAGCCCCGAAATGCCGAGAGTATGGTGGGCCCGACCTACCTCTTGAAATACTCTCACACGGCCACGCGTATACAGCCTCTGCCAGAGAAGTCCTACTCACTGCCTTCTCGTGATGGGGTGTTGTTTACGAAAATGAGAGGACGAAAAGCGAATGTTCGGCGCTTTAACCGGATCACAAACCAATGGTGCACATGGGCTCCAGTATCCTGAGTGAACAAATGGCGTATGAACCAATCTTTGGTCACCGGCTACCATGGGATTGCATCTCCTTACGATGCTCCACTGCATTGTGGGTTAGAATTTTAGGTCAATGTCTCGGGGCGTGGCTCCCTATGAAAGCCACCTGCTTCGGTCAGGGGGCCCGGGCAGTATCACAACCCTCACACAAGTAAAATGAAATTGACGATATTTGCTGAAAACTATTCACGCTTCGATTAATAACCAAACAATTCACATTATTATTATTTACTACGTCATTTATTCACTCTCTTTCATTCCCACTTTATATATCCTTATTTTTCGACTTATGCAGCAGCTCGCTTATGGTGGAAACTCGGTTCTATCTAAACGTTCTCGAGTCACTGCCTGGTTGAAATTTGTATGCTACCACCAAATACGAATACTGAAACGGTCTTTCTGAAACCACGTGCACCATTCTAACTGGCTGCCTTCAACGTTCGCACACTTATGCAGGTCGAACAACAGATAGGGTTGGCTATGTCTTTGGAAAGTCTTAATATCGACGTTTGTTGTCTACGCGAGACCCGTATTCAAGACTCTGGTGAAGTACTATAAATTCGCTCTCCATCTGTCGCTTTAAAAAAGCCTGTTTTATGTGCGTTCATCTGGGGACCCTGTGGCATCTTAGTCCGGTCTTGCTGGCGTTGGTGTCGCGCTAAGCGCTAGAGCTGAAGCAGCACTAATCGATTAGATCCCCGTTAACACTCGGTTATGTGCTGTTAGATTAGAAAGTTCCATCAAAGTGAGAAGAAATCGGCGGGGGAAACGACGTCTTTTCGTCATCGCCTATGCCCCAACAGATTGCAACCCGGATGCAATCAAGGATGAGTTTTACCACTAGTTATCTGTTCTTCTCCAGAAAGTGCGTTCGACAGATATTGTAGTACTAGCCGGAGACTTAAATGCTCAGGTCAGACGTCTAGGCACAGAAGAGAGTCGTTTAGGTGGCCGATGGGGACTCGTTGGTCGCAGGTCAGATAACGGGGACCGTCTACTGCAACTGTGCACAGACCACAACCTATTTCTGGCTAGCATTAACTTCCGGCGCAATCATCGCCGATGTGCCACTTGGCGCCCTCCCTCTGTATCTCAAGCCTGGACTCAGACTGATCACATCGCGGTCAGCTACCGCTGGGGTGGTCGTGTACAAAACTGCCTCTCCTTTTGGAGTACCTATCTGCACTCTGATCATACCCTAGTCTGCTCCAATCTTACCTTACTTTTCAGTGGCCAACGAAGTGACCGCCACCAACGGATTGATGTCAGCAAGTTGGTCGCAACTTCTGTTGCAAGTAAGTATCGAACAGAGCTAGCTTCTAGGCTAGCTACCACTCCACCGAAAAGTATAGATGAGCATTGGTTGCAATTGCATGACGCCATGAAAATGGCGGGTACAGTCAGTTGTGGGTTCGCGAAACGTCCCGCTTATAAGCACTGGGTTTCTTCTGGTTCCTTACAACTCATCGAAGCCCGTCGGTCTACTCCAGGTGACCGTGAGTTTGACCAGAAACGAAAGTTGTTACGCAGTGAAATTGGGCAAAGCTTGCGTAAGGACCGAGAAGCCTGGTGGTCAGAGCGTGCTAATGAGCTGGAAGCAGCAGCTACATCCGGTAATTACCGGAAGCTCTTCCAACTCATCCGAGCCACTGGCAGCAAGAAGTCTGGTGTGAGCGAAACAATCTGTGAGGATGACGTGATGCCAATCACTAACATCCATCAACGTCTTGGACGATGGGCAGCATTTTTTGAAGGGCAGTTCAACTGGCCTGCTGCTCCGGCAACATCGGTCAGACTGTCCTGCACTCCATGGCCGGTGACGATTGATCCACCAAATGAGGCGAAAGTTCGCAAGGAACTCCAACTCCTGAAGCGCTACAAATCACCTGGCCCAGATGACTTACCTCCGGCTCTTTTTAAAGATAGTGGTGACTTTCTAGGGAACTGACGACGTTGTTTACAAAGATGTGGGAGCTAGCTAGTGTACAAACGTCATCTAATGAGTCGATAGTTGTTCCTATCTTTAAAAAGGGTTCACGTCGTTCCTGTAACAACTATCGGGGGATAAGTCTACTTCCGATTGCGTCCAAGCTATTGGCTTCCGTCATACTTCGTAGGCTGTTCAAAACACGAGAAAGATTGACTCGCGAGGAGCAGACTGGGTTTCGTTCTGGTCGAGGATGTATTGATCATATCTTCACCCTCCGCCAAATGTTAGAACATTGCCATACTTATCAAAGGCCAACAATCGTAGTGTTTCTTGACATCAGGGCTGCCTTCGATTCGTTGGACAGGACTGTTCTCTGGGATTGTCTATTGAAGAAGGGTGTGCCTGGGAAATTTTTTGACATCTTAAATGCATTTACATAAACACCTTAGGCAGAGTGAGAGTATACAACCACCTCTGTCAATTGTATCTTCTCTAAAATTCGTGACTCCTTGACCATGAAGCATCAACTTGTGGGTCTACTTGATGAAGACTGGCAGGATTCTAATCTTGTACTCACCCTGGATCGTGAGCAGATAGACGTAGTCGAGAAGTTCGTGTATCTGGGTAGCTGCATATGTGCTGGCGGTGGCCTGACTGATGTGATCAATGAACGTATAGTGAAAACCAGAGTGGCTTATGCCAATCTGGGCCATCTTTGGCGCCTTCGTGATATCAGTCTGGTTGTAAAAGGTCGGATCTACAACGCATCGGTGAGAGCAGTTTCGCTCTATGCTTGTGAGACCTGGCCTCTCCGAGTTGAAGACGTTAGACGACTCTCTGTGTTCGATCATCGTTGTCTCCGAAGGATTGCTGACATCCAGTGCTAACACCATGTCAGTAATGCAGAGGCTCGGCATCGTGTGTTCGGGCACAGAGACGATAATGCAATTGGTGTCACCATCTTGAAACACCGACTTCGGTGGCTTGGACATGTTCTCCGAATGTCGTCCCAGAGAATTCCACGTCGTGCATTATTTGCCGACTCTGGGACTGGTTGTAAAAAGCGGAGAGGTGGTCAGTATATGACATGGTGTCGGAGTATGAGAGATAGCTGCAAAGAGCTGGCTTCTGTTGGACCTTCACGACTCCCTGGTTGGGGTCTGAGAGATGGTGCTACACAGTGGCTAGAGACGTTATCAGATATGGCTCAGAATAGAAGCCAGTGGCGATCCTGCTGTAACGTTCTTTTACTTTCTTCATAACAAATGGTTGTGTCTTCCTTAACTGAAAGATTTCTTCTGGCTGTACCTTTTCGTCTCCTCCATTATTATTATTATTATTACACTACCTTACACTAGTCTGGTCGTTATTGTTCTTTGTTTTTACACTCCTTACCTCCCTTTTTTTCTCTTCGAATTCTCATTGTTTTTTTGTGGCGCATATATATTTGGTGCCCTCTTGTACCAATGTTTAACTGTTCAAATAAAATAAAATAAGTACTCTAGACTTCTTGCACCGGGTTTTACGTGTCATTAGTCCGATCGATAATTCACTACTCTCCAATTGTCGGTATAATTACGTTATACATTAACAGGGCACACAGGCTACAAGTTATAACAATAAGTTTATAATTTTTTCTGTTCGGGTTAAATTTTGCTCGCATTGTTCAGAAGACTGTATTTATAGATATTATAAATGGCTGGTTTGTCATCATTTGATTTCGATTTGATTACAAAATCCTCAAAGAGAAACGTCTGTGAAACGCGAGATATTTCATGCAATTAGTTTTTTTTATGAATTTAAATACAGCCAGATCAAATATAGATGCAGAATATTATGAATTCATTATATATATATATATATATATATATATATATATATATATATATATATATATATATATATATATATATATATATATATATATATATATATATACCTTTTGGTCTGAATATAATTTACTACTTGGCTTATCCTTATTTGTAACCTAAAGTCATCTATAAATATCATTCTATTCGAAAGTTTGTTCTTTCCCACAGTTTCCAGTTATGCCTATTCTTTGCGATTTTATAGTTGCAGTCAGTTGATTATATACATAGACCAGGAGGTATCCTTGTATATCCTAATCATTTGTTTTTATCAACCATGCACATCGTAGACATTGATGTGTTCTTTGCATCTATTTCTAAACAGATAACTCATACTAATTTTGTGGCACTAAAGTAATATTATTGTTCAGGTGGCCAGTTTACTTGTTGCTGATAAAAAATGCATTCGATGTGTTAGCGGGACATAGACCGGATTAAGGGATGTTCCTTGCACGCTGATTAGCTCTTTCTTATCCAATCAACATTAGTAGATACTTGGAAAAGACTTGAATCTTCTCATGTAGAAACTAAATATATTAACTTTTTTTATTACTTCCTACTTCCATCTACCCTTGTTATTTGGAATATAATTTTGTTCCTGTTCAACCGTGTTCTGATCTGGGGACTTGTCGAGTGAATTGGTTTTCAAAAATACCAAGCAATAAGAAAAATTATAACAACGTGACTGTAATGAATTCTGTACAAATACTTGGTAGATTTGGAGAATATCAACGGTACTGCTTTTTATCTGTACACAAAGATGTTCAATCTTTTTTTTACTTTTTATTCACATTTCAGTTGTCATGTGAAAACCACTTAATATTCAGTGCCTCTGTTCCGTCCAATTATACTCAGGGTTCTAGTGTCAAACTTCCGTGGGCTAACAGTGATGTCGAGGCGGCTTGGGAAAATGTTGATAATACATCTGACACCAATGGAGATATTATAAATACAAATGCACTTTTGCAAAAATCAGATTTGAAAACTCCTTTGGCTGTCTGTGGCAAAGACCCTGTTACTGATTCAGTTGGAAAAAAGAAACGGGCTTGTAAAAACTGTACATGTGGCTTGGCTGAAATTGAAGCAGCGGAAGAAGTTAAATCTGACGTCCCAATATCGTCCTGTGGAAATGTAAGTCATGATTATCTGTTTTACTTCCGAAAACACCATAGTAAACAAGTAGTTTGTGATGATAGTGTTATAGAAAATCATAATGTTAGACATTTTTTAAATTACAAACAACACGATACATATTGCTTTCCTGAAGTATAGGCTCTGAATACTGCAAACACAAATTGTTCTCGAACTTACCAAAACTTCGTCTTCAACCAATCTTAACTGGATAATATATTAACCTGTCACTTTCGGAAATGTTCCAGTTACACGAACCAGTTTGAGATCAATTTCTTCGTTGTTTTTAAACTTGGCATTCAGTCGCATGTCCGAAGTATGAAGCACATGGGCTTCAGGTTGCTACTAATTAGCATATTCCAGCTTTTGTAGCAAAAAGTACAACCATAACTCGCGTTCTTTCTTATGTGGTCGGAAAGCAATGACAACAGATATTCATAGCCTCATGGTAGAATTTCTTGCTTGCACCCATAATTTCAGTCAGTCAGTCAGCTACAACGTAGGATCAGGCACATATATACATCGGTCCAAGTCACCATACCTCATAAACACACCAAGATGAACACCGGATTCATAAAAATAGTTAATTCAAAGGTAGTGATACATAAAAGAAAGATTGCAATAAGGATATATATATAGTACAGGAAGAAAGAATTAGTTCGTACAAAGAAAGATATGAAGCGATTTTAATCTCTTAGTTTAAGGGAAGACAGAGAGTGTATACACCGACGCCATTGTGATCGATTCTGAGCCATGTCACCAAGAGTCTCCAACCATTGGTTACGATAGTCACGCAGACCCCAACCAAGTAGTTTGCATCTCCCAACACGGCTCAGACTAGAAGTTAGTGACTTCAAGCACTGATGCCACATTTTGGTTTAGCCGCCCCTAACTTTCTTCCAACCATCTCCAATACCGGTTAGCATTACACGTCGTGGTAATCGGTGTTCAGGCATACGTAACACGTGGTCCAACCATCTCAGTCGATGAAGATTCACAACCTCATCGACTGATTTATCATTATTCCCTAACACCGTGCGTCCAACCTCACTATTACTTACCCGGTGATCCCAGCAGATGCTGACAATATTTCTAAGACATCTGTGGTCAAATACTAGTAGCTTACGAGTGTCTTCTACTCTCAATGACCATGTTTCGCAGGCGTAAATTAAAACAGAACGGACTCCCGCTCAGACTTCCAAGATAAGTGAAGTTGTCAACGCGTTCGACTACTTCACTCCTTATCCTTAGTTCAAGTGTTGATGCAGACCAGTCCTGAAGCAACAACTTGCATTTAGAGGGAGGGAAGCGCATTCCAAACATTCTGGCATTGTTGCTTAGTGCTACCAAAAGACTGCATTTTATCAGTGTCTCACTTACAGGACTATGCCATCTGCGTATTCTAAGTCGATAAGTGGACCTCCTGGTAAGAGATCAATGCCCGAAAATTCAGTAGGCGAAAACGTTACTTCCATCAGTATGTTTATGATGAAGTTGAACAGAAATGGAAATAGTGGGTAGTCCTGCTGGACATCAATTGATGTTGCGAAACCAGTTGACAATTCACCATAAGCTCTGACTCGACTAGTAGTGTTCGAGTAAAGAGCCTTCACAAGGTTTATGTACTTCTGAGGTACGCCTTTCAATGACAGACACTGTCACAGAATCTTGCGGTCTACCGAGTCAAATCCTGCTTTTAAGTCAAGAAAGACCACCATTGTCCGACGCCGATATGTAATCCTATGTTCTAGAACCTGACGAATGGTGAATATGTGGTCAGTGCAGCCACGACCAGGTCTGAAGTCAGCTTGGTTCTCTCGTGTTTGCAGTTTACGAATCTTAGTTAGGCATCTGATAATTATCGAGGCTAGTATTTTAGATACTATACTAGTTAAACTAATCCCTCTATGGTTATCACAGGATGATTTTACTCTCTCTTATATGTTGGGACGATAAGTGATTGTGACCAGTTAGATGCAATAACGTCTTGTCAACCTAATCGCTAAAATTGAACCACCATCCTTAAAGACCTCCAGAGCCCATCCATCTGCCCTTCCCCGTTTCAGATTAGCTATAGCCTTTTGAACTTCTGCTAGAGTTGGGGGACCTACTTCAATGTTCCATTCACATTGTCTGGGAATGGATGGTAGTTGTAGAGTAGCTGAAAGGCCAGCTGAACTGTTGTCTGATGAGTGTCGTCTTTCTCCGAAATAGTCTGACTTACACTTGACCTATTAATTCCAGTTTCTTTTTTTAGTTTGTAGAGCTGTTTTGTGTTCCCTATAGCCGCCGCCTTTTCCATCTCTTTTGCTTTCGTTGCCCACCACTGCTCATAGTCGTTTCTTAAACTTTTGCTTAACCTAGATCTGATTTGTTGTCGCTCTTCCTCGTGTTCAGAGCCTGATGGGATGAGTTTACGAGAACCCATCAGTGCAATAGACCTTGAAGAAATCCATTGATTCTTTGTAACCTTGTGGTTTAAATCACTGATAGATTTCAATGCTGTTTCTACAGCTGTTTGTATATCTTTCCAAGCAACATCTGGGTCAAGCTCGTTTTCAGAACTACCTAATTGTGACCTCAGTTGTTCCTGGAACCTACTTTTGGTTTTCTCGCTACTCAATCCAGTTCTAATGGGTCTTTTTACTGAGGCTTTTTTGCGTCCAGTGAGGCGCAAGCAGATGCGTGCCCGTATTAGGGCATGGCCGGAGTCCAAGCAGGTACTCCAGAATGAGCGACAATCTTCTACCGATCCTCTCCAACGATGACTGATGGCAATATGGTCTATTTGAGTCCATCGTTGGTTTGGTGGGTCGCCATTTTGGAAAATGTCTCCTTATGCTTAAAATTTGTTTGCTAAATATAAACGATTATCTGAGCACAGTTGCAGCAGACGATCATCATTATCTGTTCGTTGTACTGGAATACTAAAATACCCACCTAAATGTCTTTCTGTTTGGTTTAAATTACCTATCTGGGCATTAAAGTCATCTGCCTACTCCTACCAGTCCACGAGAGCTGGCTGTCGGGTCACCAGATACACGGAGTGTGTATCTCGTTCGCTCTCTGTTTTGTCGAGGTGAGGTCAAATAAATGATCACACTGGGATCCTGTATGCGTGTTTCAGAGACACAGCATACATCAATGATATGAGATTCTAGGGTTCTAGCCAGGGAAGCCTGTTGGCCGATTTGACGTACGTTGAAGGCTCCAATGTGTAGTGTGTAGCAAGGTTTCAGTAGATCTGGGACAGCGTTTTGAGCACTAGAATCGTTGGCTGTGGTGACATTTGAGGAGGGAGTTTATAGGTAAACGTCGATGTAGGAGGAATAATAGGAAGTGAAGATGGAGGTTGATTATGAATACAGTGGTCTTGAGTGCTGTTAGGAGTATGAAGACGGTTATCACTTTCCGGTTGCCCACACCGTGGAATGGTTGTTCTGGAGGTACCTGTAAAGGAAATTGGATTAGAGGTGGTCTTAGTGACCTGATAGCGTGACCGCAGTGCCGAAGGGACAACTGCTTGTTGTCAGTCACACACCTTTTTATGGGTAATTTTTGTGTTAGCTCCGTACTTGTTGAGACCTTACCGCCGGAGACGGATATCCGTGGGATAAGGCGAGGTGTGCATTTTTAGGGTCGACCTTTTCTAACCCCACCCCTCCTTGTGGGAAGGCAGCATCGCTGTCATGCTGGTTGTCTGAAGGAAACACCTTACTGCTGTCACACCTCTGTACAGTCAGCAGTACGACTTCGCCTTCGGACCCTAGGTTTGTTACTTTCAGTCTTACCGCTCTTCAACCGACCGACCTGTCTGACATGGTAGGAACGATTGTTCCAGCCACTATAGCTCGAACAGTTTATCACGATAAGCAAGCCTGGCCACCACGTCAAGGTAGGAACAACGGTCGGGGCACCTATAATTTGTGAGTATATATAACCATTTATCACACAAGGTTATTCTGAATATAGTTTTTATTAGTGTAAACCTTTTATGTAAGTCAAACTGAATTCATCCTTACAGAATGCTACTACTGAACATCTAATTACGCACTCATTTTCACAAAACAAACATGTTATCATTCATATAATAATCGTCTGAAAATCATATTTCACTACCTAGTTGTGCGCTTATCGAAGAAATTTAAAACATACATAGAGCCTAGTGGTGGACCCGCTGGGTTGTAGATTCAAGGGTAACACAAAAGATTAGATATATACAACACATATTCCTTACTAATTCGATCAACTTAAGAACACTTTCTTCAGATTTAGTGGATATTATATATTTTGTGTTGTTCATTTATTGGTGCTTGTTTTTGAACAGTATTTATTAGTTTGATTTGTTGTATTAATTTCAACCGTGTTTTAAAATACCTTTTAGTGTTATCTTGGGGATGCTTTCCGATGTTCTACATGCCCTTACCGTGGGCTTCCACCATTTAAGCCCGGCGAAAGAATTCTAATACCGGATGATGTTTTGAAAGCTGATTTGTGACAGACGTACATACACTTTGCAGACTAGTCTATTGTGAATCTCCGTATGTCCTTACTGTTATAACAAACCATACTTCTTGACTTTCTCGATGAATTTGTTATATTTATCGTCTTCACCAAACATTTCAAATAGTATAACTTCTTACTTGGACTGAGTATCTATTATATACGTTAGCATGAAATTAGGTACTGATGCTCAGAAATGTGTGGTTGGTATCATAAGTTTAGCCAGCACAGTGAATTCATCATTAGTCATATGTAAAACCTAACTAACAGAGAAATACGTAATATTTGCGCAACTGCATATCAGACCATACTATCTCGTCGTATAAAATAGCATGTTAACCCATGAGATGAGAAAGTTTTATGTAAGTGCTGGTAAATGCATTCATCCTTGACGCACATAAATTACGTCATATGGTCGTTTATTTGCTCTTTATTACGTTTGTACGAGTAAAATTGAGAATGGTAAGCACAATTTTCACATTCGTCAGATCAATTCAAACACGTTTCTACACATTTTAAAACCTCTCATAGTCATCCTAATTTATCCAAAACGATAATAATGCAAATGGTGTACTTTTTGAGATTGATAATTTCTTGTTTGTTCAAGTCGCTGCACGAAGAAAATTGTTATAATCAAAGGACACGTATTGCCTATTGGAGAGCAGTTTGATATTTGCCGTAGGTGTTGATCCCAATGGGAATATCTCACCAACAAATAGATATAGTTGCCCCACTTTATCTACTTCACTAATATTTTCTGCGATGAATGGGTTTAAAATGCACATGTCTAGCGAATGTTATTTAGCACTGCCTGAGTTATCGGTGATGTATCTTACTAAGATGAAATATATACGGCATAATGTTTACGTGAATGTGATCAGTAAACAAAAATGATATGGTGAATTTAGAATAATAACACTAAAAAACCGTTAGTAGTGGAATACATAGAAAATAATTTATTCAAAGAAACTGAAAATACGAATTATATATAGTCCTCATTATCGGATTCCGAGTTTGTTTGTGATACTGATTTGTGTTCGACAAGGGTATCTTTATCAAGAGACGGTTCATGATCACCAGGTGGTTCGGGAGATCGCTCGCTCTGATCATACTGCATAGCAAATTCAGTGTAAAATTTATTGAAATCGAGTCTGTACAAGAAGGAGAAATGTATCACTGTCAGACCAGAAAATGAATTATAACAGGTTATTACATAATGTTAGACATTTTAAATCACAAAACAAATGAAAATTCTTTGATATGTGCAACTATATCGATGTATATACGTACTCACTAACAGTCAAGCAACAGAGATATACTAACCAATATAAAAGTCATCAAATGTAGAAAATTGATGAATACCCTTAGAATGTTTTGCAAGTTTACATGAGTACTTATGATGTGTTTGGAATTTTCACTACTACCAACACGTTGTTTGGGGGTTTAACTACCGCATACGAATAAAACATCAAGTGCGATTGTTGGTGTTAGCAGGATAAGGTTCTGACTGTTACATTCGTTAAGCTCTATTCGGAATACGACAGATTCATTTTCAAACAATCATTGCTGCCAAACGAATCAAGGAGATGCTAAAAGATCCCTGTGTGAATCCTAAATAAACTAGTGTTTTTACTACTGTGTTATTCGAATTTATTGGAATTTACATTGCTCTCTTGTAATTCTTAAGTTGGTCAGAGAAGATTCGAATAAACTAATTTTCAAGGGATACTATGTAGTGAAAGAACACAAAATATGCAATTGCAGAAAACAAAAATCAGAGTAAAAATATATAAAAAAATTAACTAACCTTGATACTAGACTTAACAGTCTGCTGTGATGCTTAGCATATTGTTTGACCTTTTCAAGCAGTTCAACTAACATTCTACTGAAATCTGTATCAAAGTTCGTAACCGTTTTAGCCATATCATCTGACAAACTCATTCTACCAAACTCTTCTCTAGTAACCTAAAATTATAGCGGAATGAAATTACTATGTACTTACTGATGGACATTGTGTCAGTGAATATTATGCAGCAAAAGCACTCGTTGCAATCACAATATTTTCCAAGTTTACAGTTTCCACTTGAATGTACATAAAATTGGCTGTTTTAAATTGAACTTTTATGTATTAAAATTATACAGAATAAAGCTATTTTAGTGTGAACTACAACTCACATTTGCTTATATACTAAGAATGATACTATTACTTGAAGTTTAAGAAGTGTTATGATTCAAGTAATCTTGTCTGGATCTGAGACCATTCATTAAGACAACAGTAGTTCATTATTGCCATATATTCAGATAACTAAGTACTACACATGAATGTGAATAGTTCCAAAAACATGCGTAGCGACTTGTAAATATGCACATAATTTCAATGTTCTGCAATAATATATCTGTTTGTCTAAAAGTTTCGTACAAGTAACGCAGAAAATAATGACAAAGCAAACACATATAGTTCAACATACATAAACCGAATATGCTTTGCACATGACAAAGCAGCTGCTTCAATGGTGTTAGAACTTACAAGAAATATGTAAATATATGAAGAACATCACACTCGACTCGATGTTTGCGACTACTTGCATGATCTAAAAAAGGGACTAATTACTTCATTTCTGTCTTGCAACAATAAAACAAAAATTGTCAGGTAATAATGAAAAAACAATCGACTACTTACTTTTGTCATCATAGATTCTACTGAACTAGTGGTAGATTCACGGGGTGCATATTTTAAATCATTCTTTGTTCGACCTAAATTTGATGACGGTGTTGGATCGTGTAGGAAAGGCCTTTCCATATCATTACTATGCCGCGATGAATAAACAATACATTGATCATTATCTCCAAATGATGATAAATTGATTCCTGTTATAGAGAACGCCAAGTGTTGGATAAAATTAGCAAATGTTACACAGGCTACAGATAATTTTCCAACTAAACTTAATAGGTCAGGACTAGCTAGTAAACAATCATCCATACATACTTCCAAAAAATGTAGATGTGATTCTAAAAGTAAGTCCAAATTAGATACCTACCGAAGAATGAACAAATTAGAAATTCATTATGGTAAATAATACAATAAAAATGTAAGCAGGACGTGATTTAAGTTACAGACAACTGTCCAATAAACTAAAGTTTAAACTGAGAAATACCACCAACTAGGTAACAACGTTTTGCAGAAAATTTATGAATCAAGTCTGAAAAAATTGTGATTATTATTATTTATTTGGACACATGAATATTGGTACAAGAGAGCGCCAATATATATGCGCCACACAAAACAATGAAAATCCGAGAGGAGTACAAAGAAAGAAAAATAAGCTACGGAGCGCAAAAAAAGAGAACAATAACGAAGAGATTGGTGTAAGGTAATGTGCTAGTAATCAGGGAACGCAAAGGTACAATCGGAAATCTTTCAGTTAAGGAAGACAAAACCACTTTTTATGAAAAGTAAAAGAACGTTACAGCAGGATCGCCACTGGCTTCTATTCTGAGCCATATCTGATAACGTCTCTAGCCACTGTGTAGCACCATCTCTCAGACCCCAACCAGGGAGTCGTGAAGGTCCAACAGAAGCCAGCTCTTTGCAGCTATCTCTCATACTCCGACACCATGTCATATACTGACCACCTCTCCGCTTTTTACAACCAGTCCCAGAGTCGGCAAATAATGCACGACGTGGAATTCCCAGGCACACCCTTCTTCAATAGACAATCCCAGAGAACAGTCCTGTCCAACGAATCGAAGGCAGCCCTGATGTCAAGAAACACTACGATTGTTGGCCTTTGATAAGTATGGCAATGTTCTAACATTTGGCGGAGGGTGAAGATATGATCAATACATCCTCGACCAGAACGAAACCCAGTCTGCTCCTCGCGAGTCAATCTTTCTCGTGTTTTGAACAGCCTACGAAGTATGACGGAAGCCAATAGCTTGGACGCAATCGGAAGTAGACTTATCCCCCGATAGTTGTTACAGGAACGACGTGAACCCTTTTTAAAGATAGGGACAACTATCGACTCATTAGATGACGTTTGTACACTAGCTAGCTCCCACATCTTTGTAAACAACGTCGTCAGTTCCCTAGAAAGTCACCACTATCTTTAAAAAGAGCCGGAGGTAAGTCATCTGGGCCAGGTGATTTGTAGCGCTTCAGGAGTTGGAGTTCCTTGCGAACTTTCGCCTCATTTGGTGGATCAATCGTCACCGGCCATGGAGTGCAGGACAGTCTGACCGATGTTGCCGGAGCAGCAGGCCAGTTGAACTGCCCTTCAAAAAATGCTGCCCATCGTCCAAGACGTTGATGGATGTTAGTGATTGGCATCACGTCATCCTCACAGATTGTTTCGCTCACACCAGACTTCTTGCTGCCAGTGGCTCGGATGAGTTGGAAGAGCTTCCGGTAATTACCGGATGTAGCTGCTGCTTCCAGCTCATTAGCACGCTCTGACCACCAGGCTTCTCGGTCCTTACGCAAGCTTTGCCCAATTTCACTGCGTAACAACTTTCGTTTCTGGTCAAACTCACGGTCACCTGGAGTAGACCGACGGGCTTCGATGAGTTGTAAGGAACCAGAAGAAACCCAGTGCTTATAAGCGGGACGTTTCGCGAACCCACAACTGACTGTACCCGCCATTTTCATGGCGTCATGCAATTGCAACCAATGCTCATCTATACTTTTCGGTGGAGTGGTAGCTAGCCTAGAAGCTAGCTCTGTTCGATACTTACTTGCAACAGAAGTTGCGACCAACTTGCTGACATCAATCCGTTGGTGGCGGTCACTTCGTTGGCCACTGAAAAGTAAGGTAAGATTGGAGCAGACTAGGGTATGATCAGAGTGCAGATAGGTACTCCAAAAGGAGAGGCAGTTTTGTACACGACCACCCCAGCGGTAGCTGACCGCGATGTGATCAGTCTGAGTCCAGGCTTGAGATACAGAGGGAGGGCGCCAAGTGGCACATCGGCGATGATTGCGCCGGAAGTTAATGCTAGCCAGAAATAGGTTGTGGTCTGTGCACAGTTGCAGTAGACGGTCCCCGTTATCTGACCTGCGACCAACGAGTCCCCATCGGCCACCTAAACGACTCTCTTCTGTGCCTAGACGCCCGACCTGAGCATTCAAGTCTCCGGCTAGTACTACAATATCTGTCGAACGCACTTTCTGGAGAAGAACAGATAACTGGTGGTAAAACTCATCCTTGATTGCATCCGGGCTGCAATCTGTCGGGGCATAGGCGAAGATGACGAAAAAATATCGTTTCTCACGCTGGTTTCTTCTCACTTTGATGGAACTCTCTAATATAACAGCACATAACCGACTGTTAACGGGGATCTAATCGATTAGTGCTGCCTCAGCTCAAGCGCTTAGTGCGAAACCAACGTCAGCAAGACCGGACTAAGATGCCACAGGGCCCCCGGATGAACGCACGTAAAACAAGCTTTTGGAAGCGACGGATGGAGAGCGAATTTGTAGTACTTCAACAGAGTCTTGAATACGGGTCTCGGATAGACAACAAACGTCGATATTAAGACTTTCCAAAGACATAGCCAACCCTATCTGTTGTTCGACCTGCATAAGTGTGCGAACGTTGAAGGCAGCCAGTTAGAATGGTGCACGTGGTTTCAGAAAGACCGTTTCAGTATTCGTATTTGGTGGTAGCATACAAATTTCAACCAGGCAGTGACTCGAGAACGTTTAGATAGAACCGAGTTTCCACCATAAGCGAGCTGCTGCATAAGTCGAAAAATAAGGATATATAAAGTGGGAATGAAAGAGAGTGAATAAATGACGTAGTAAATAATAACAATGTGAATTGTTTGGTTATTAATCGAAGCGTGAATAGTTTTCAGCAAATATCGTCAATTTCATTTTACTTGTGTGAGGGTTGTGATACTGCCCGGGCCCCCTGACCGAAGCAGGTGGCTTTCATAGGGAGCCACGCCCCGAGACATTGACCTAAAATTCTAACCCACAATGCAGTGGAGCATCGTAAGGAGATGCAATCCCATGGTAGCCGGTGACCAAAGATTGGTTCATACGCCATTTGTTCACTCAGGATACTGGAGCCCATGTGCACCATTGGTTTGTGATCCGGTTAAAGCGCCGAACATTCGCTTTTCGTCCTCTCATTTTCGTAAACAACACCCCATCACGAGAAGGCAGTGAGTAGGACTTCCCTGGCAGAGGCTGTATACGCGTGGCCGTGTGAGAGTATTTCGAGAGGGAGTTCGGACTCACCCCACTCTCGGCCGTACCAGGGCATTCGGGGGAACAAGTAATACAGATTAAAGCGTTCTGCTATATTTCCTGTCTGACTAGTTTGATTGCCCCATTCCCCTCAACAAAACACTTTTTTGATACAAGCCTTGTTTTCGTGGCTAGCTTTAACAAAATGTTTATTCAGTGCGAAAAATCCAATGGAATCGTTAAAATGAATTAACGTTCACATTTATGGTAAACATTTTTTCGATTATCACAATTTCTAATGATTCAACAGTTAAGTGGCCTTCATTGTATCCCCAAATTACTATTTTGTGATTTGTAAGTAGTGAGTTTTAAATTTATCTCTTGTTGAATATAGCTATGTTAATTTTCTTTGTGCGTGCTTAACGACTTGGATACGTGAAAATGATGTACGTGTATATATAACAATAAAGGAATTGGCAACAACATACTTTGTCAACGCTTTTGAAAAAATTGTGCCATGCTGGTTCAATGATCTCAACAGACATGAAATACTGTAAATGTTGAATGAAAATAAGCATTCGTTGGGCCAATAGAAAAGCGGTTGTAAACCAGGTAGTCATAAGGTTATCACATTTACGAGCAAGTTTGCCTAGAATCCATGAGCTGAAATGATATTGAAAAGGTTAGACGATAGTAACTTATGCTTTGAATCAATATATACCAAAGGCTTAATGCCCCAGCAACATTTAATTAGAAATGAATATTCATGACAAAAACATCTTTTTAACTGATATAACGGATAGTACAAACTATTTTCCTCACAGCGTATGCTGCACAAATACGTTGATACGATAATGAGACTGGTCAAGTTATATCGTATCCAAGATTCACAACGCAGAATAGAGAACCAGATTAACATTAAATTATATTTTATTCAACAATTACAAATAGATACACTCAGTGAGTCCCGAGTCTAAATCAATAATAGGAAAGAAAAACACGTATTGAGTAGTCAGTAGGAGAATCGCCTGTTTGTCCAAACTCAATGACCAATCACATTTTCCCCTCACTAACACATCACTAAACTATTCACTTACAATTCTTAAAAAAAGTGAATTTAAAAAACCAAGATTTTGCAGCTATCAATGGATGACAACTTTTAAACATCCCAGACTTTATTGAAGAAATCAGTTTGATCAATAAAACACCTACGCGAGGGAAATGGTCTATTTTTGATTTCGCTGAGTTTGACAAATACCTGGGCAATATCAATAATATCCGATACACTCACGAGTTATAATTACAGTTGGGCGGTAGCTAATGCACTTGACTTTCCAGTTCAGCGATCCAAGCGACGTAGTTAGCCTTTACACGGTAATGTGGATTAAAGCGGTGTACACAATCCGGTATTTGGTTGCTGGTCTCTGAATGTGTATAAAACTCACGATCATAATTTTCATAGTCCAGAGATTAGTGGAATTTCCCGCGGTAAGCATGTATTCCTAGTTCGGCCTAAATAATTTGTTTACAGGTGGTAAACAAAATGAAAGAAAAGGTGCTAACATAGTATTTCTTACTTGCATAGTAATCTCTCAACATGTCTGCAGTATAAAAGATGACGGAAAAGCATTTGATAGCGATCCATTACTTGACGATTGAGTACTAAATCAATAGGCCAGCCAACTCTATAATCCAAACAGAAAGCCTCTAGTCCTGAAAGATTTTTATCCTCGATCGGTAAGACGTTGTCTAAGTCACAAATAAATAACATTGAAAAAGTGTTTATTAGGAATATTATTAATTCATTTTAAAAATACTGACTCTGAGTTATCTGTTGTCACACAGAATGGGCAGCGAACAATATGTAGCGAGACGATACCTAAAATTTTAAACGTCCTACTACACTCTGTATGATCATACTGATCTCTGAGAGAACATAATAATTGCATTTGAATTGTCAGCAATCTCAAAATTTGTCTACCACAACTGATTTGATGGAGTAAATGACAATTTTAAGTTGAAGTTAATATTGGAAGACAACTAATGGTAGTTTGAAGTACGAACACTGTCCTTTTCGCACTATTCAATTAATTGAGAAATTTGTTTAAAACATGTGACAACCTGTGTTCCTGAATATTGTTAGGAACCCATGTCCCGATAGTAAGGGCATTACCAGATTAACAATAATAAAGTAAATTATGATTTGTGAGTTGCACAGGCTTCGAAGTTCATATACATTACGGTAAATCAACAGCGAATATCTTTTGAAGGATTTACGTTAAAAATATATACTTTACATGTAATGAAATAGTTTTTATCATTTGCGATTAAACTTCTACATTGATGACTTGAGTGAAAACAAATAAATTCAAACTACCTAGGGGTTACTCTTTAAATAATTTTTAAATGGTTTTTTAGATAATATTGTTGTCAGTGTGTCACTAGCCAAAGAATTGTTTATACACATACGAAGCCAATAACCAGAGAAAAACCCGACCGAAGCTGCTACCTTGACGCGGTGGTCGGGCTTGCCTATCGTGATAACCCAACAGAGCTATATCGGCTGGAACATATGTTCCTGTAGGTTCTACCATGCCAGGAAGGTCGATTGGAGAACGGTAAGACTAAAAGCAGCAACTCAAGGTCCGAGGGCGAAGTTGTACTGCTGAATGTAGAGGGGTGTGACAGCAGTAAGGTGTTTCCCTCGGACAACCAGCATCTGAAGCGATGCTGCCTTCCCACAAGGAAGGGTGGGGTCGGAAAAGGTCGACCACAAAAATGTCACACCTCACCTTACCTCACGGATTTCCATCTCCGGCGGTAAGGCCTTTTGAAGAACGGAGTAAACACGTCAAAAACCAGCCGTGAGCGACCGGCCTCAAGCAGTTGTCCCTTGGGCTCTACGGTCACGCTCCCAGGTCGTTAAAGCCAACATTAATCCAACTTCCTTTTCAGGTTCCTCAAGAGATAACCTTCTACGGTGCGGGCAACCGGGAAGTGACATCAGCCCTCATACCCGTAACAGCACACGAGACCATGTTGGTCACAATCAAATCCTTCATACACCTCCTAACAGCTCTATTATCTCCATGAATATTTGAGCGTTATTCAGCTCAGTCAGTCAGTATCAACGTAGAACTTCGTACGTACGTACATCAGTTCCAGTTGCCACACCACATTAGCACAGAGATGCAGTGGTCAATTCAAATCCCGTAGTGGTAGAGGTAATAAGAGTATAAGCAGTAATCAGGAAGATTAGTGTTTGGAGATGTTATTTAAGGAGTATAATACAAAGAAATAAATTTGAGAAGAGAAAAAAAAGAGACAAGGAGGAATAAGGAGATCGAAATTTGGGAGAACACAAAGAGTGGATGCACCTGCGCCATTGTAAACGATTTTGAGCCATGTCATTCAGGGTCTCTAACTATCGGTTGCTATCATCTCGCGGTCCCTAACCAAGTAGTCTACACCTAGCGAAACACCCTCAGAGAAAGATGGACATATTATACATTCTCAATCCAGGAGATTGGATCGATGGGCAGAACACTTCAGGGATCAGTTCAACTGGCCTTCCGCCACACTTCTGTTTCCGACGATCTCCAGTCAACATGAATGGCAAGTTAATGTAGGTCCTCCGTCTCTTTAAGAAGTTGAAAAAGCCATAGGAAATCTGAAACGAAGGAGAGCAGCAGGACCTGACAGGTTTACTCCTGAGATTTTTAAGGATGGTGGTCCAGTATTAACATTGAGATTAACTGAGGTCTTAGGTAGAATTTGGGAACTGGACGTAATCCCATATGACTGGTCTCAATCACTCATTGTACCAGTTTTTAAGGACAAAAGTCCTCTTGTGACAATCACAGAGGAATCAGTTTGACTAATATAGTGTCTAAAATATTAGCTTCAATAATACTTTGACGCCTAACTAAAGCTCGTGAAGAGCAGACTAGAGGAAACCAGGCTGGTTTTCGACCTGGACGTGGTCGTATAGACCAGATATTCACACCATGTCAGGTTCTAGAACACAGACACATATTCAGACGCCCACAATGGTAGTATTTCTCGACCTTAAGGCGGTATTCGACTCTGTTGATCGTGAGGTTCTATGGCAGTGTTTGTCACTGAAAGGAGTACCAAAGAAGTACATTAACCTTATAAAGGCTCTCTACTCGAACACAACTGGTCGAGTGAGAGCTTATGGTGAACTGTTATCAGAATTGAATACCTCAATTGGTGTTCGTCAAGGTTGTCCACTCTCTCCTTTCTTGTTTAACTTTGTCGTTGACGTGCTTTTAGAGATGACACTCTCCTCATCTAAATTTCCAGGAGTTGAACTTCTACCGGGAGGTTCACTGGTTGACTTAGAATATGCTGATGACATAGTTTTATTTGGTGAAGACGCTGACAAAATGCAGAGTCTTCTAACCACTCTAAGCAACAATGCAAGCATGTTCGGGATGCGATTCTCACCCTCGAAATGCAGGATTGGGTTACATCGACACCCGAACTAGTGATAGGGAGTGAAGTAGTTGAGCGTGTCGACCGCTTCACTTATCTTGGGAGTTTCATCAGCCCTTGTGGTCTGGTGTGTGACGAAATCTCAGAACGGATACAGAAGGCTCGACTAGCTTTTACCAACTTGCGTCATTTATGGCGTAGGCGAGATATCCGTCTATCAGCCAAAGAACGTGTGTACTGCGCAGCAGTTCGTTCCGTCCTACTTTATGGCAGTGAAACATGGCCGGTAAGAGTAGAGGATATTCGTAGGTTACTAGTATTTGATCATAGGTGTCTTCGAAATATTGCTCGTATATCCTGGGACCATCGAGTAAGTAATGCAGTTGTTGGGAAACGGGTACTAGGTAAGGATGGAAAATCAATTGATGAAGTGGTGAAAGTTGAGATGGCTAGGACACCTGTTACGTATGCCCAAACACCGACTGCGATGTTCAGTGATATAGGAGTAGGTTGGAAGAAAGCTATGGGCGTCCAGACCAAAACATGGCACAAGTCCATGAAGTCACTGACAAGTGGAGTGAGTCATGTCGGTAGGTGTAGACTATCTGGTTGGGGACCGCGAGATGATAGTAACCGATAGGTAGAGACCCTGAATGACATGGCTCAAAATCGTTTGCAATGGCGCAGGTGCATCCACTCTTTGTGTTCTCCCAAATTTATTTCACTGTATTATACTCCTTAAATAACATCTCCAAACACTAATCTTCCTGATTACTGCTTATACTCTTATTACCTCTACCACTACGGGATTTGAATTGACCACTGCATCTCTGTGCTAATGTGGTGTGGCAACTCGAACTGATGTACGCACGTACGAAGCTCTACGTTGATACTGACTGACCAGAGAAAAACTAATGCAACAAGTTACTGGATAAGAGACATCAATTAATTCCGCAAAAAAAGCAATGGGGTTAGACCTAATGTTAAAAATAACAAGCTAATGTATGCTAATTTATATACACCGAACGCATTTTTAATGTTGATTTATTTGCAGACATCCACTTAAATGGCTAGATGGGATACGATGGAACTTGAAAATATAGTCAATTAAAATTTTTGGTAAACCATAATTTCAAAATAAATCAGAAGGAATATATTAGGTGTGCTCAGTTAACTAATCAGGGTTAAAATATACACTTAATACTCGTAAAAGTAATGTGGTATTCACTACCATCTTAAATGATTCCTATTAGCGTGCTGTTGATAAATTGGAACTACCAAGCATAGTAAATTTTTATTGCGCGACCATTCGTCAGTGTAAAAGCTATAAAAGGTGAAAAACGTTTTTCTGCATAAATAACACCGCCCATATAAATGGAAAAATTAAGTAATAGAATCCTGTAATTATTTTACGGACAGTAAATAACCGAAACTATTATAGTGTAGGGTAATAGAAAAAATAACGAAACGATAGGGTGTGAAAACTTAGATTACCCGGTACGTCTTCTGATCCAGCTCGTAGAACCATTAAAATTTGAGAGATTAAATCAAACTGAAATATCACAACGCTAAATGACAAATAAACAGAGGAAGTAATAAACGTATTTTGAAAATCATGAAACAGCACAAGTTTGGTTTATTAAAGCTGATTAGATAGTAAAACTAAACTATCATTCAAATACAATATAGCAATAAATGACAACGATTTTTCGATTTAAAACATTTTTAGTAGCAAATTTTACTTACGATAAATTATCTTTGAATGGATCACTATTAGCAGTGCTAGTACGAAGTGCTAATTCTAATAAATAATTTAAACGTAGTTGAGAAATAACTGTAAAAAAAGATAAATACATGAAAGGTATAAAAGATGTAGATATCATGTCTCAGCTAGCATTATCCCAAGGTATTTTACAAGCACATTAAAACAATATAATTTTTTCAAACAACTCTAAAATGTACATCTTAATAGTATGCAATAGTATTGGAACACTACGCAAATAATTATGATTAACACATTTGTGAATAATAATATTAATAATCATTTTTACTTTCGCTATTTTTACGTAATTCTGCTGCAGCGGCATCCATAAAATGAACAATAAAATCACCTTGATCCAACAGAAAGAAACGCTTGACAGATCTGCAATACAAATAAATATGAAGTTATTTCAAAGAACATATTTGTTGTTTTACTTACTATAATGCATTTTCATTTGTAGCAGCAAGCTAACATAGTTTTACACATTAATAAATTTATTTTGTTAGGATGAAACCATTCATGAAAATAGTAGAGGATTATTCAATCTGGTTTGGAATAAGGGTATGCAGGTATAGAAACATATATAATCACGAGGAATCAGTCAAATACTACTATTAAGAGCGGCTCTCCACACATAGGGGTTACAGAAATTTCTTAAGCAAGTAGGGTTTTTTCATAAAAACTAATTCTTAAGGCGTTATTCACTAAAATAACAATTCGCAGTACACAGGTGGAAGTATTTTTATTTAATATTCTAAAAATGTAACTAATTATTATTAATATTTCTATCATAACTCCCCTTCTCCTTTTATTTCGAAATTCCGGTCATTATGATATCCGTTGTTTATACATGACTATTACTGAAGTTCGTCTTTATTTCGTTAAATAACTTTTGTTATTATTCTAACTGATAAAAGTCTCTTTAAATTCTATTACCCGCTACTGCATAATTTGTCCATTTTATAATTACATGCGTGAACCTGCAAGTCACAAAATGCCTTCAAAAGTTATAATTGCCCTATTCATTCGATTGACTATATTTACTTCCGAAATCATTAATCGTCATTTTCATAGATATTGGTTTTACTGTTATAGGAAAATAAATATTTTACTATAGGGTTATAATGGGAAATTGGAGGGAAATGCATCTTCACTCCATTAGTCTGTTTCCTAAAACATAAGCTTGAGAACAAATTCATCATTGAAAGAATATTCGTTCCTAAATGAGAGTCCCAGAAGTCATCAGTGTACATGAAACTCACCATTTCAAACAAAATGACTTCCAAAATGAATCTCTAGGATTCTTATTTACAATATGTAACCCTTGAATGGATTCTAGCTGGGAGTGAGGACAGATACCACTAATCGCAATGAAGCAGTATACTCAAACATATCAATTCACTGAAACCAGCAAAATGAACTAGGAAATGTATTGACCGATTATTATGTGAAGTACACGTATTTTTGTAATCATCTTAGTTAAAACATATGCTAGTTTTTTTGGAGAAAATTATTATGACGAGTTATTAAATGTAAATATGATTGAATTACTTTAGGTGTTCTTTTAAATCCTTTTGTTGCAGCATCAAATTCAATAATAAACTGCTTGCGTACAGATGAGCTTGGTCAATTTTATTAAGAAACACAGAATGCTCTTTATTACAAACAAGTTCTTCACACGTAGGAAGCTCATAATGATCGGCTAAGAAATAATAAGTTAAAATTTTGAGTAATCGACAACAAGTTATAACAAGAAAGAGAAAACAATTACATATTACAATTTTGGTTATAATATGCAGTTAACATAGTGGTTAATAGTAGTGAACTATCTGATGTCAAAAGAAATACACCCAATTCATCGTCTCCTCTGTGACAGTACTGGAAAACAATTTTCGTATAAATACATGTCAAGGAGGATCTGGTAACTCGGAAAGCAGTTCGTCATTTCTATTATCTTTTTTGAACTCAATTATTTGTTTAAATAATAAACCAATCAGTATTGGACCAACACTGAAAACCTGGAAGCAATAGACGGCCGTTTTGTTCAATATATTTATATTGATAATACTCTTCATGAACAATTTTAGCCTCCAGAATAGATTCTGTTGAAGCATTTCTCCATATAAGGGAAGTTTTATTAATCAAATTATTGAATCACTCAGTAGCACATACTCCTTAACTGTAAACGAAACGTGATGTGTGACTTCCAAATCTACCACAAACAGTTATTGTTGAACCCTCCAATCAAGATCCAACAGAGAGCATTTTGACAATGAATTAACTGATTAAGTGTCAGTTATGTGTGAAAATATTAGCCTGTAGGTTATTTTTTAATCCATGAGTAGCCAACGGTTAGGTGATTTGAAATAACAATAAATATTTTATTCAATTTTATATGTTTGATTAAAATAAAGAACTCTAAGCAAAAATGTGCAATATTGAAACAGGTATAAAAAAGTTTTACCCACAGTAATAAGGTGCTGTTTACTTTCCTTAATAATAGTCTACAACCAATTTACGTAGCATCTATGAAGCTTATTTGATAATACATTTGATATATGAAATCTAATGTAACCGCTTTTTGTTTCTCTGAAAGAACAGGCAAAGAGGACGAAATATGGATTACTGTGATGATCCCTCTCAATTTTGTAACAGTTAGCTTCGTAACAGGTTGTTAGCCCCTTGAAAAAGCGTGTGAATCACGTTAGGCAATTATCATACGCAAATGAGTAGTTAAAACAGAAAAATTTATTTTAATATTTGTACAGTTGAAAAAAGGTCCATAGGACACTGACGTTTTTAAGATGATTTTTTGCTATGCAGTGGTGTATTCGTAATTTATATGAGAGTAGAGAGACTGTAACTACACTGGTACTTAACTACAGTTGAAATGTCACTCATTCACAATGCAAACTTACAAAGTTAAATTGACGATATACCATGTTTGTGTTTCTTGGAAACATGAGTTAATCTGCGATCCAAACCAACGTATAAATCGGACGAACAAGAGATTTGCTAACCTGATTAAATACGACTTTGCACATGCTGATTATTTATAATATTCTGATTCAAGGTAAATCGAACAACGAGTCTCACTGATGGTTTGCGAGCAGTTGTGTCAACGTAATGCTATATGCAAGATTCTTTCTGAACTATGTCCTCATATGCAATCTTTCTTTTATATATTCTTTTATATATAACTACTATGAATTCGGTGTTCATCTTGTTGTGCTAATGAGGTATGGCAACTTGAACCGATGCAAATATGTGCCCGGTCCTAAGATATGCATCAAACAGGTATTTTCTCCATATACATACATACAATACAAGTTATATTACGACTACCTGCTCTCTGAATTTCCAGCCTAGAATTTTGTGTGAATATAAAAACTGACACTAGTTAAAAAAGCAAGTATTTTTTGTGCTCAACTGGAGATAATATTATTATCTAGAGGACTACCTGATTCATAGCTACCTACCACTAAATCACTGAATGCTAACCAAAATAAACAGTGAACTTCAACGATAATCAGATTCCACTCATGAAAAATTGTAACGCTGAAATCGGACTACAAATCTACGGTAGACTTAAGAAGCAGCAGTACATCACATATGATTGACTAACTAAGAAACAATAAATGTGAATTTTGTCTTCGTTGGCTATGATCAACAAGTAGTAAATGTAAGTTCTAACATACGTCCAAAAATCTCAATGACACGGAAACAAATTTTACTTTTGAACCATCGTTGTTAACTGATTCAAAAATATGAGATGAAATGTGCTAAATTAAAAAAACAGAATAAGGAATACTAATATTTAAAAAATGGAAAATTCAGACATCAGTCACGTTTTTCTTCCTTATAACTTATGTAAGACTTAACTACGAGAGTTAGTACAACTTTAAACAAAGAAATTTGTTATACTCACGAAACGTTATTTTAAAAAAA